ATCACTGCCGTTGTCTGTGGTCTTCACTTCTACCTGCGTTGTCTTCAGCTACGTACCTCTGCTGCCCAGTAGCTGTCCTTCAGGGGTTCCTCTGCCCCCATCACCATCCGAGACATCCTTTCCATCTGTTGATACGACTGCTGCTCCTGAAGAAGCCGGATGCATCGTTGATGCCTCAGCTTTGACCATTCTGTTTGGGTGACCCTGCTGGGAGATTCGCCTAGTGAGAGAGTCTGGCCTCCTGGTGGAATTACTCTCAGCTGCTCTGATGCTTCCAGAGTCACTCACCACATTGAGGTGTGCAGCCAAGAGGGGCACTCTCTGTGTCCTTGCGTGTGTATGGCTCTACCAACCCTGCATGCCCATATTGTGCCTCCCTTAACTCATGCACAATCTCACAGTTGTATTTTATTGCAGACCACAATAAAATGAGGAGCTAAGAAGTTGCATGTCATGCCACAGATGAGAGGGACCTCTCAGCAAGAAACCTCATGACCTCCCCAGCAGATGCTGGTAAACCTCATCATTCGAAGGCTTAAGAGTATCCCGGGGAAAGCAAAAGGTACGGCAGTCCTCTCTGCATACCGCATACCCTGTATTTTTGCCCATCTAGATTTCATGCACAGGAGAGAGACAGTGGGAAGCAGGTGTGAACCAGAATTGGCATAATTCTTGTCCCCTTCCTGCCCCAGTGGGCCCCCTTTTCCTCCCTCCAAGACCCTGCTGCTCTCTTGGGAGAGAGTAACAAGCGTCGTTTCTTCCACAGTGCCTGCATGAGGAAAGAGAGGGGCCCAGCTTTCACTGCACGAGCATCGCACCAAATTACCCTATGGCCTTTCAGAGAAGGTGGGGAGGCCATAGGATTGCGTGAGATCCTTAGTTTTTTAATAGTGGCACAAGGAGTGTTTATAGGGTTTCTAGGTCTTCAACTGATGAAAGAATCAGACTGCTCATCAACAGAAGTGGCACAAGGATTTCTGTCCCTGCTAGTTAAGATTGGGCAGTATCCACCACTGCCTATGTGCTTGTAAGATCCACAGCAAATGCAAGAAGCCAGAAGAATCCTAAGGAACCTAAATTGCTGGTTTGAGGAACTGGGGAAGTCAGCAGAATTCAACACAGAGTCCCTGCGTACTTAAGCATGTCTTTGGAAGATGCTCGCCAGTGGCTGGGTCCATGGATGCAACACAAGAAGCAGGAGTGCTGTGGCAGGACTGGAGGTCGCACTGTTTCAACTTGCAAAATCTAGGTTTGTTGGGGAGCATGATTAATTCTGATGCATCCTAAGATCTCTGCCATTATTACTGCATCTTTTCTGAGACTGGCTTGACCGCCAATGGTGCTCGTGTGCCCCTCTCTCCTGTCTAATTCTGAACTCCGTGGCACACTGCAAACTCAAGTGAACTCGTTTCAGGATGGAATTCTGTAGAGGCTCCTTCGCAAGAAATCGTGTCTCATTAAAATCTGGTGGGTGTTTTTATTCACTCCTTGAGTGGTTGAACAGCTTTTAAATTAATGGATAAAAACTGCAATTAGCATAATGCTTAGGCTGTTCTGCACTGAAGAATTAAGGTAAAAATGGATTGCACCTTTTTCATGACAGCCAGCTCAAAATCCTCAGAGACAAAGAGTTTTAAGAGAATATAAATGGCTGTGAGAAACCAGAGATGGAGGCAGTCAAGAAAACATTCCCTTGCCACAGACTCCTGATAGCCTGGTTATTAATAGCTTCTTTGAATGAGTCACTGGGAGATTTAAGTATTCGGTGTGGCACAGAGACGTGCTACCTAAAATAGCATCTAAGTAATATTTTACGCTACTCTAATGTCAGGGTAGCTCACACACACCTCTTTGTTAAGGTATCTGTCCAGTAGTAGAAACATAGAAACAGAGTGAGTCAGAAGGGGCCTCCTGAGCCATGTAGTCTAACCCCCGGCTCCACCCGGCTCCGCTCATGACATGCCTACCCTGTGCATGCCCAGCCTATCCTTGAACACCCTCACAGACGGGGCTCCAACCACCTCCCCTGGAAGCCCATTCCATACCCTCGGGGTTCTACCCACCAGGAAGTACTTCCTGGCATCCACCCTAAATCTTGGTTCCCTGAGCTTTGCTCCATTGGAACATGTACCTGTAAGTCTCTAACAGGTCCCCTCTGAGTCTCCTCCTCTCGAGGCTGAAAAGACCCAGCTCCCTCAGCCTCTTCTCGTATGGCTATCCTGCAAACCAGCCACCATCCAGTGACCCTAGTAAACAATACTTTGGGTCCAATATCACTGGCATTCCGCTTATATTGGAGGGCTTATTAGCTCCTTTCTTCTGCTGGAGCACAGCGCTTTCTGTGAACAGGAATTGCCAGTCCAGATGCATAACAAAAAGGCTAATGCGGGAACAGCTGTCCATTTCTTTCCAACGTAGTAAAAACTCACTGCTGAATTCACCTCTGCATATGTCATTCATAGTAATCCTCTACTTGTTGACTCTTTATATATTAGCACTGAATCCAAAGCACTTTGATATTCCATGAAGGATGATTTTTAAAAAGCCATGGATATGCAAAGGAAATGTTTTATGCCACAAAAGTAAACCGTTCATAAGTGTTTTAGACTGCATGTAGGTCCTTCTTCAGTTACATCTCTAGAACAATGTATATATTAATATTACAGACTTAAAGAGAACTAAACCACTCAGAAGCGACTTGTCTTCTAAAGAGAACTAAACCACTCAGAAGCGACTTGTCTTGCCAGGAGCAGATTGAGGGCTTTGCAAATTTTGTGAACATTGCCTAAGGTGGAAACAACTTGTAAATCCTGTAGGAAAAATAATATGGTGAGGGACTTTACAATACTCAATACTAAGTATGTGGTATGTGCTATACTTTGTCCTTGCAACAAACTGTACATCAAGAAAATCTCAACAAATCTCAAAATCTGGACTGTGAGAAGACAGTGAGAACCTCATGGAAAATATTGATGCCTCAGAGTCAGGAATCCTTTGAGCAACAGAGATAAATTGCAAAGGTCTTTTGAAAAAAGGAGCAAGGTAGATTTTGAGCTACATTCCATGATTCCCTTTGGCCTTAATCTCTTTACTCTAAAAGATGACTTTTCAGTCAAGATTCATGCATGTTATCAGCCTGATTCAGATTAGCAGAGGGATTGTAGTTAATGAGCAAGAATGAGCTGATTTGATCATACTGAATTAATCTATTTATTCTTGAGATGTGCCATCAATTGATATGTGTTACTGGCTATGCCATTTGGAATGCTGAGGTTTGCTTTGATCAGTTTTTTTTATTTGAGAAAGAACTGGATTGCTGCTGTTTTGGTTATGCTGGAAGCACTTGTTTTTAAATACAGGGGCATGTTTAAAGGCGGCAATGAAGATTTTGTACAGTGTTATTTTTGTTTCCTTGAAGGAGGATTTAAATTTGGTCAGACATGTGTTGAGACCATTTATTTCTGTGAAATAAAACTCCTTTTGCACATCCTGTTGCTTTTTGGCATTCTTTCTGGCCCCATCAGAAAGGAACAGAAGTGGAAGCCACTTTCTCACATCCTATTGCAAAACGGTTGGCCCACACACAAACCCGAGCATTGCTGTATATTGTAGTGGTTTTCTTCCTCCCTTTGTACTGGTGTCTTCCTTTTCCATTGCTTTTGAAACTGACGCAATAGCTCGACCTAACAGATCATTTTGACCTGTAAGTTTCACAGTCCCGTAGTAGATGCCTGATTTCCCACTGAATCTGACTCTGCATCAGAGGTCTAGTGAACTAGCTTATACTTTTCTTTGGCTCTCCTATTAAACAGCATCCTTTTCATTCATTCATTCATTCATTCATTCATTCATTCATTCATTCATTCATATATATATATATATTAATGAGGTGCATTCCATCACTGAAGGAGTCTTACGGCAACAGTTCACATAAACGATGAACAGCGAACTTGTAACAGCTGCACAAACCTGTTTTGTTAAATTAGGCAACCTGGTACATTTTAAAAAACAAAACTGTTTTCAGTGGGTACTGCAGGCAAATACCCCTGGAGGGAGCCTTCCAAAACCTGGTGCTGTAACTGTAAAGCTCTTTTCTCACCTTGGGTGGAAGGAGCACCAGGAAAAGATCCTTTCCAAGATAACCTGAGCACGATTTTTCAGAAAGTTGATTTCCTGCACATTTACGTTGCTCGGAGACTCTTGGAGCAGCCCATGCATCACCGCTAAAACTAGACAATCCGTAACTGCATGCTAAGCAAGGAAAATGGATTAGGAGGAGGAGGACAGCCAAGCCTTTCAGCCTGGTGGCTGGACTGCTTCTGCAGCTCCTTCTCATCTCTACTGTTGGAATGGCTGCTGATAGGAACACTTGGGTGCTCTTCAGCGGGCCTCCAAAATGACTTGGACCAAGGATTTGGCTTCCTTCCAAGAGGATCTTTTCTGGCAGCATGGGAAAGCATTCTTGAGGAAACTTTTTCTACTTAGGCACTTACCGAAATGTCTACTTCCATTTACCTGTAAATGCTGTATGAGCCCTGCTTTCTTTAACAAGCAAAGCTGAATTTCAAACAGCTTTGGAGGTTTTCAGCCAACTGAAGTACAGTTCACTCTTGTGGCACCCTTGCATCAGGCTGACACACAGCGTTTATTGTGGCCTGGCAGAGAGTTAATAGGATTTGAGAGGTTTGAGGAAAGCAGACCAGAGCGAAACACCAAGAAGTGCAATCTTCTTCCTCCGGAGCACAAGTTGTTGAGCAAAGTTTCCTTTGTGGCAGCCTCTTAGATCATGCCAAGTTTGCCCTTGATGGGAGTGCACTGGTTTCTGATTGCGACCTCTGATTATAGACTTAACTTTCAAAGGCAGAGTGCATTCTTAATATTTTGGATTAATTTATCAGTAGGAAGATTAATCTCCCAGGATGGGGTGAGGCAGGGAACTCAGGAACAACAAAGCTTGCTTGTCCACCTCAGTCATTCTCCATAGACAAATAAAATTAGCATTTTGACCAGAATATTTACATGTTTTATTAAATCTTTACAATCAGCAATTATAATCAAATACACAATTTTATGTACAAAGATTATGTACACATTGAGCTCAGACTTTTATCACAGTACATAGTTGCCCTTGGGAATATTGGATACACCTAAAATCACCAGACAGTACAACCCAACTACAGTACTGATAAAGCACCCCTTGAGACTTTTCATAAATTACATCATAAGAAAATATATGGCTGTAAATTGGGCTGGTAAAAAGTCTTATAAAATCTGGATGTATGGTTTGCATTCATAGAATGTTTCCTCTACTGTCCTGCCTGTAAGGTAATACCATCCTTTGGATCTCTGTTGAACCTGCTAAAGGTACAAGAGAAACAGCTTCGAGAAGATCCTGAGTCAAGATGCATCTGCTCTTGTGCCAACTCCGCTTTACCTTCTCCTAAAGAATGGAGGCATGTGTGAACTTAAGACATACACAATTCTCCTAATAGGTACAGGAATGCTTGTCCAAAAAGGGCTTCTGTTATGATATGAAGAAATTCGTAATTTGTAAGTAACCTCTCTCCAAAAAGCATTTTTTCAAATCAAGTTGATAACATGTACACCTCTTATTGTCCAACACACTTATGGCTGTGATGAAAAACTAAGATATATATATATATAAAAAGGGCAACTTATATCTGAGGTAGACGACCACCTTTCAGATGCTCCTTTCTAATGGCAAGGGAGTCTTTCAATATTCCCTGAATCAATAAAGAAAACTCAATCCATTTGCAGATGTTTAATGTCAGACACAACCTAAAATCCATGTTACAAACTATGTACAAGTAGTAACAGGTAGTGCAAACTCTTAATAAATAATTTGTAGGAGAAAATGAAAATTTAGTGGTTGCTGTATGAAGCAGGAATATTTCTGTTCAAAATGTTTCATGAAAATACAATGACTAAAGAATCGATTTACCAGAAACCCAGAATGAGCAATTTATACTGAAGGGCTAGTGAAAATTACAGTTTGATTGGTAAGTTATTCTAGATCAGAGTTCATATAAAGATGTGGGGGGGGGGGTTGTTTATTTTTAATCAGTGGCACTAGTACTCGTGACATGCAGAATATCCATTTACTTTTTACAATTCTAGCTTAAATTTAGTGCATTCTGTAGGCTTGGCCCCAAACTGCTAAAACTCTTTTCTGGGCACAACCAAACACACATTCTCCTCTGGATGAGGGCCAAAGTTACCAAAGGACACTTGAGCTAAGACTCCATTCAGAATCCCTGAAGAAATATTCCGCCCTCCAACAATCAAGACCTAAGCCTAAAGACAACTCAATGCGAGATACTTCACCCAAAAGTTGAAAGCCCCACTTCTAATACTTCATGTGCAAATAAAAACATTTGGGGAAAAAGTTAAAGGACACTTATTATTTATTAGCCTGCTAAGATTTACCACCATGGTTTTCACTCAGTTTCTGCACAATCACATTTTCACCCAGCTAGGATATTCTTAGAAAAATGCCAAGGCCTGTACATTGGAAGGTGCTTTTTGCACTTTCTGGCTTTTTGTATTAGGACCTTTCCACTGTTCAGACTGCAAACACATATAACTGACTCGCTGACTCTTTCTCTGTATATACATACATGAAGGATAAACACAGAAACAGACAACTTCTAACAACTTGTGTCACACCGTTTGACCAAGAAACAATCTAGAAAACAGGAGGGAGGGAGCTAAGCCAGTTCAACGGAGACGCAGAGTGGAAAACAAGGCTGGGGATACCCCACCTACCGCTCGCTTTATTTGCATACTGAGAAACTAATAGTTGCCATTCTCTTCTGCTGGGAAGGCTGGTGCCGCGCTAAGGGTTGCTGCTGATGCCTTTTAAAAACATGGCCTCTGCTCCATCTTGAGATGACCTGACCTCCTCTGACAAGATCCCCCTTTCCAGGTACCATTGCAGTGTGCAACTGGACCCTTCCCGCACACACAACTCTGCACCTCGTTGTGACAGACATTTTATTATTAATTCTCCAACAAAAGTCAGTTATAAAGTGGCTGAACTGAGTGCAGTTTCTTGAAGTTTCTTAAAAGCAAATAAAATAAAAAAATAATTTTTAAAAAACTAGGCAGAAATCAAAACTAACAAGATGAAAGTAATGAAGACTGGATATAAAGAAGTAGTGTATGACAGTCTTGCTTGTATTACTCTTGGAGTGGGAGGTTGGGTTTTTAGAAGATTATCCTCAGTTTCAACTTCAGACGTTTGCAAAACATGATTGCTCTCGTATATACTAGACCTTCTACTACAATTTAAAGAGAATGTACACATGATGCCAGTCTTTCATTGACTTCATCCTCTGCTGTGGACATACTGTCTCTAGTTAAGATACTGGCCTTTTTGCCCAATGGAAAAACACTAGAAATTTTAAGTTGTCTACTGGAATAGAGACGGTATCAATGTAAGGATGACTCCACTGGATGAGTCACAAAACCAAACAAATTCCACCTTAGTTTTAAGAGATTTAGTACATTTTCCAAAAAGTGGCAGTTTCTGCTTATTTTAAGCTCACCATTTGATGTGGAAGATTCAAAATGAAAGTGAGGGGAGTGTAGAGAAGAGGTCTTGCCCTGTTACTCAGATTCCAGTTCCAGATTCTTCTGTGATTTTAATTAATTAATTAACCTTTCAAACCTTTTGCTTTTTCCTTCTCACCAATAGTGCCCATTACCTTTGGTTTATAAACTATCTTGGCTTGAATGAGGAACATTGGGGGGGGGGGAATCCAAGTTGTCTTGGTCATTCCTCAACGTAAGAAGTGGAAGAAGCAATTGAGGAGTTACAACGCACTTACCATATTAAGTGGCAAAGGACAAATCGCAGCTGCTGCTGTTCGGCCCTCAGAGCCAAGGCACAACAGCCTGAAGTACCTTCAGCCATTTGGCTATAAAGGCCTGGGTGCCAGTACTGACCCGTCAAACAGTATCGTTGCAACAGCCCAGCCCGTGGTCTTCCACTTGCCAAGACTCGATGCGCCTGCTGGCCACCCTGACGCAGCGAGGATCAATCCCATCGCATTCGTCTTGGCCTCCTCAGACTAAGGCAAGCTAACCCACAAGAACCTGGAACGCAGGAGGAATCCAACTCGTTCCCTGAATGAGCCTCCTGTGTTACAGCACCATGCAAAGGAACCCTATAAACGGGTCGATTGCACATTCCCATTTTTAGAAACAGGGAAAACAAAAGGAAACAGCAATACACGTTATAACACATGCTGGCTTTTGCCATAAAACCTGGCTGTTTGCCACAATACTGAACAATTCTTTCATTTTTCAGATCTCAGGGCCTCCACGAAGTTCACGGTTGAGCAGTCCCACACGAGTCACTTGAAGTTATAATTCGTCCTTTTCCATCATTTCAAATGCTTCTATATCTTCATTCCAATCTGCTAAGATTGATTCCATAGACTGGCCTTTATTATCCCAGCTATTACTCGGACTGGAATCCATCTCAATCTCTGATTGTTCCTTCGGGTGATTTTCCAGCTCCGATGTCTGACTGCTACTACTACTTTCTTGGAGTTTAGGTATACAAGAATCCTGGTTTGCAGGAGAAACATGACTGCCATCCAGCTCTGTGAGTGCATTTAAACCTCCTTCTCCTTCAGGTTCTTCACTGATCAAGTTCAAATCTGTTGAGATCTCTTCTGACCTCTGGTTATGAGAATCGTTATCAGATGACTTTTGATCCATGCTTTCCATTTCCAAATCTTAGAAAGAGAACAAGATAGGAAGAAAGAAATATTATTCCCAAAACCCTCACTTTGCTAATTGAAGAGAAGCCTGGATTCTGTGTTTCATATTGGCTCACAATAAACAAGGCTGAAACACATCCATCGGCCAGGTATTTGGCTGAGGCTATTAAGAGATGATCATAATTAATTAATGGCAACTGTCAGTAACTGTTATTGGAAGATAAAGGGTGCGCATACTATTTATAATGTAAAATAGGCTGCTAATTCTGTTATGCGTCTGTATAGTCATTCTTAATTCATCTTATCATCTGTTGTATTACATGATCTGTTCTATTTATTTTACATTTTTTAAAAACTTCTGTACCACCCCACAGCTGGAAATTGCTGGATGGTTTACACAGTCCATAAAAACAGATGTTAAACATACAATACCTGTATCATAGAATCAGGAAAAAAGTTTTAAAGTTTTAAACAGCTAAAAACAGACTATAAAAACAGAGATGAGAAAAGAATAGCAAAAGAATGACCCTGCCAATATATACCAGTAGATCCTCGTGTCAGTGTTCATTTGACCAGTGGATTCATGTATTGATACAGTATATCACAGAAGTGAGTACACCCCTCACATTTTGTAAATATTTTATTATATCTTTTCATGTGACAACCCTGAAGAAATGACACTTTGCTACAATGTAAATTAGTGAGTATACCGCTTGTGTAACAGTGTAAATTTGCTGTCTCTTCAAAATAACTCAACACACAGCCATCAATGTCTAAACCACTGGCAACAAAAGTGAGTACACCCCTAAATGAAACTGTCCAAATTGGGCCCAAAGGGTCAATATTTTGTGTGGCCACCATTATTTTCCAGCACTGCCTTAACCCTCTTGGGCATGGAGTTCACCAGAGCTTCACAGGTTGCCACTGGAGTCCTCTTCCACTACTCCTCCATGATGACATCACGGAGCTGGTGGATGTTAGAGACCTTGCGCTCCCCCACCTTCCGTTTCAGGATGCCCCACAGATGCTCGATAGGGTTTAAGTCTGGAGACATCACCTTTACCCTCAGCTTCTTTAGCAAGGCAGTGGTCGTCTTGGAGGTGTGTTTTGGGTCGTTATCATGTTGGAATACTGCCCTGCGGCCCAGTCTCCGAAGGGAGGGGATCATGCTCTGCTTCAGTGTGTCACAGTACATGTTGGCATTCATGGTTCCCTCAATGAACTGCAGCTCCCCAGTGCCGGCAGCACTCATGCAGCCCCAGACCATGACACTCCCACCACCATGCTTGACTGTAGGCAAGACACACTTGTCTTTGTACTCCTCACCTGGTTGTCGCCACACACGCTTGACACCATCTGAACCAAATAAGTTTATCTTGGTCTCATCAGACCACAAGACATGGTTCCAGTAATCCATGTCCTTAGTCTGCTTGTCTTCAGCAAACTGTTCACGGGCTTTCTTGTGCATCATCTTTAGAAGAGGCTTCCTTCTGGGACAACAGCCCTGCAGACCAATTTGATGCAGTGTGTGGTGTATGGTCTGGGCACTGACAGGCTGACCCACCACCCCTTCAACCTCTGCAGCAATGCTGGCAGCACTCATACGTCTATTTCCCAAAGCCAACCTCTTTGCTGGCAGCACATGCACTCAACTTCTTTGGTTGACCATGGCGAGGCCTGTTCTGAGTGGAACCTGTCCTGTTAAACCGCTGTGTGGTCTTTGCCACCGTGCTGCAGCTCAGTTTCAGGGTCTTGGCAATCTTCTTATAGCCTAGGCCAACTTTATGTAGAGCAACAATTCTTTTTTTCAGATCCTCAGAGAGTTCTTTGCCATGAAGTGCCATGTTGAATTTCCAGTGACCAGTATGAGACAGTGAGAGCGATAACACCAAATTTAACACACCTGCTCCTCATTCACACCTGAGACCTTGTAACACTAATGAGTCACATGACACCGGGGAGGGAAAATGGCTAATAATGCCCAATTTGGACAGTTTCACTTAGGGGTGTACTCACTTTTGTTGCCAGCAGTTTAGACATTGATGGCTGTGTGTTATTTTGAGGGGGACAGCAAATTTACACTGTTATACAACTCACTACTTTACATTGTAGCAAAGTGTCATTTCTTCAGGGTTGTCACATGAAAAGATATAATAAAATATTTACAAAATGTGAGGGGTGTACTCACTTCTGTGATATACTGTATGTGAAAATGTCTATGGACTAAACTAAGGAAGTGTTTGGATGGTGTTTTCAAAACTTCTGTAATTTTGGTCCCATCTGGAAATACAGCATGACTCTGGAGTTTCAATCTTTATTTCCTTCCCTCTTTTTAACGCTTTTTTCAAGTAACAGTGCCATTAATCAGTGAAGTCATAATTGGCTTCCCTATGATACTTTCAGCTTATTGCAGGTTTGGTGCTATTGGTCATTCTGGTTGCTACAGTCGATAAACAGAATCTGCCACCAGTACTCTGCCTGGTCCACAGACAGAGCCGACCAGTAGACCTAAATTTGCATACAGTCTTTTTTTCTTAGTCTAAGCATGTATACCACACCAGAAACTAATTTTTATACAATTGAAGCACCTCTCTCTCTCTCTCCAAAGCAGAAGTTGCTCAATGCAAAACAAGATTGTAAGTCTATCTGAGTAATGCTGAAAACTTCTTAACTTCAGGAAAAACTCCCACAGAGTTGCCTGCACAGGAATCCATGAGCAATACAGACTTCACAGGGCTGTTCTGGCTCCACACAAACTGGGTGCACCTGGCACCTGAGCAGTGGCACAGCCACCTTCTGAAAGAAGAGGATCAGCTGGACAGGTGTCCCTGAGGGACCCGAAGGGTTCAAGGTACTCAAGAAAATCTACCAGGCTCTAGAACTACCAACCGTAGACATTTGTGGGACTGACATGTCAACAGCTTCCTATTTGAGGTCATTCTGGTCAATTGATACAATGTAGTACAAAAAATAAATAAATACCCCAGTTAAAAGATAAACGTCTTTTTAAAAACCCTTTGCAAAGGCATACAGATGTTTGATACTTACTGCTATCAATAATGTAGTTTGGAATCATTTTATCTTTAAATATAGTTGCTGACATTCCAGGGATAGCACAGAGAGAAGGGAAAAAGCACGTGAGCATTTCAAACCCACAGATCCACTGCTGTACACATCGTAATTAATTCATTAAAGTAATGGCTGCTTTCAGGAAAACAAAACAAAACTGAGGGGGGTTGTATTTATCATGGAATTCAATTCAGGATACAGAAACCTGTGGTCTGAATGGAAGTATTTTAGAAGAAAGCCTGTCAGTTTTAAAAAGCATTGCCAACACAGCTGCAGCTGCCTAGAACCAGAAAGGATTCACAGCTATTTAAATGCAAAAACTGGCATGACAAGGCCGCAATCCAACTCAGGTTCGACCTGCATGTCCAGTTGGCTTCACTGGGAGAGATTTAAGTTCATACTTAAAACTCTCCCACGCAATCAGTAGTACTCTGCTTTAGTGCAGAGTAAATTTTGGGGTTCACTTTTCAAAATAATACATGAGCGAGTTGAAAATCTAAATCATAGATGTGTTCATTCCCAGCAATTTTTGGGTTAAACAAGTCAGCAAGTACAGTATAATGAGAAAGAGAGAGAGGGAGAGTGTACGCTTAGCCAAACGTTTTGCTCATATAAAGTGGATATACGATTGCCTGAACTTGCCTAGTATGCCTGAAATAGTTTAGACAATGTTTCTGCCACGCAGCAAAACAATTCACTTGAGAAACTGAGACATCCTTTTAAATCCTGCTAATTTGAAAGAAGCTGGAGTATTTACTACTAACTGTCCCAAGACACCACTGCCCATGCCTCTTTCTTCCCCTTTTCTATACTCTCCAGAACAGCTGGAATTTAGAGTGCACATTCATGGGAGAAAGGGCTACTTCTCAGTTTTGCTCCACAGTTTCCCTCTTACCTCTGTCTTTTGCTTTGTCTGACAGCAGCACTTCTACCGCCTCATACTCCTGGATGGCGTCAAGGATAATGCTGCCTTCCTTGTTGAACAGGAACAGCATGGGGATGGTGATGTCGTCTGTATTCTTCCCATCTCCCGCCATTTGGAACAGAGGGGCCGTATCACTGCTGCTTCCTTCATTGTCATCTAGACAGCACACAGTCAGAATAAACAGTGTTTTCACTATTACATCCCTTCTACCCAAATAGCCACTGAACGTTTTACTTCTCCAATAACAGAGGCTTGTTTCGGGGTGATTGAATAAGCCCATTAATTTCCAGGCTTGCATGGTGCACACAAGCCCTTCTGCTTTGCATAATTAATCTCTGATCAGCCGTTTCACAGGCTGCTTACAGTTTAAATAAGCCAAGGTTAAGCTAAGAATGTAACTGTAGGGTAACTCTGGGTTATTGAATCTGCTGAAAACCAGTTTTAGGTATCAAAGAACAACCTATGATCAAGCTGATGGGAAACTGATTACGGAAAGCAGGTAATTCACACATGGCACATAGGCTAGCGAACCACAGATTAAGTACCCCCTTCTTTGCTTCTATTATTCGCCAGCAGGTGTTCTAAAAGACTTGTCTCTGTTGCAACTAGCCATAGCAGCAGCCTGAAAGACAGGCAGAACATTCAGACACTATTAAAAAGGAATCTAGAATATGACTATAGACAGAAGTGATGATTTTGTGGATTTCATAAATTTAAGCAGTTAATCCTAAATTCCCAACAAATGGCAGAGGAAGGATAATGAAACTCTAATTTGTGATGCACAGCAAAAATAAAAAAGCTGTAAGGCCCAGTTAAGACCTTTTATATACTTTGATAACTACCTACCCACCCATTTGTGTGCATGCACACTAAGATCCAACGAGCTATGACATCAGTTTAGTATTTAAGCTTGTTTTTTTCCCCAGCAGATCATCTGTTGCCCTGTCAGTCTTTAAAAATAACCCCATTGTCGACTATTTCATCAAAAGCTTCAGTGGAATTCCAATGTAAATTATATTCCTGTCTGTTCAAATACTAAATGATCTGTTGTCCACTGGAAGTGGCGGAGCTATAATCTGCACCATTAAGTTTAAAACTATGGGAGTACATAATGCATATGTGCGTTAATGACTGAAATATCGTGCAACTGACCACAATATCTTTGTAGAACTTTTGCCATATTTACCGATAACGATGCCGCCTATGGCCCCTGCTTTTTGGATATTCCGTGCCTTTTCAGCAAACATGCACTGCCCTCTTTGCATCAAAGCAATTTTCTCCTTCAGTGCTTCCGGATTGGTGATTTCAGAGCATCCATTATATGGCTTACTGACTGCAACAAATCCTCTTGTCTGTTGAAGAGATGAGAGGCTTCAGCACACAAGATGGTAGTCTGCAGAAGGCATGCATCACCACCACCACCCCACCCCGGTAAAACATATGAACTGCATGTTACGGAATCTGCCTGTCTATCACGACTCAGCCCATCGGTAACTACACCTAAACTCACTGAAATCAAGCAACTTCAGCACTGCATTCAACTACGGCCAGCAACTTTAGTACAGACATTATTTTACAATGAGCTCATTTCACTACTTGCACTTTTCATGCTAATTTAGAGTACTGACAGAAACCTTGTTGCATTTTTTAAAGTGGCTAAACTTTACACAATTTATTTAAAATAAAAAACTGGCTCTCATATGGGCTGCTAACCTAAATAGTCTAAACAAATTTAAATGCCTTGAGCTATTGTATGAGTTTTAACTAAGGCTGGCTAGGAATTAATGTTGTTTGCCTCTTAATGCAAATGTACCTAACTTCCCCTTCCTGAATCAATACTGATATCTAATATCAATAGATATGAATTACCTTAGTAATGAGGTTTCACAAACCAAAAGCTGTGCAAGCATAACCAAGTTGGACAGCATCATCTACTCCTAGTTTTAACTACCCAACCCATAAAGTTAAAAAATAAACAGCTTTTGCCATTGATTATGACCTTGTTAACAGCTGCTGGGTGGATCCAAGATTGAGACACGTTTATTTACATGGCTAAATAAAACAGAAGAGCTGGAGGACGAAGCAAACTGTATAAAGTGTCCATGTGCCACTGACTGCAAGCAAGATCTCTCGCTTCCTTTCTTGCACCATTAAGTCAGACACTGGAACTGCTCTTCCCCTTTCACCCATAGTTTGGATTGCTTTCTTGACCTAGAGAGCTTGTAGGTGAACTGCTGCTGTAGGTGCACTGACTCCTATACATGACTTCTTCAGTCCTAAACACGACTACTTTCCCAGCACACTTTCACTTCCACACAGCAATAAAAACTGGGTGATCTAAAGATATAAAAATGGCACAAAGGCCTACGCACCCCCGACTTGTGTTTGGATAGATCTGTTCCAAATTGTGCTGGTCCAGCGGTCAAGACCACTCTGCCAAAGAATGGGTGAGAAACAATCTGAACGGCACGAGGAGGCAGCTGCTGTTCCTTCTGCTGCTGACTGGAGAGCTCAATCATTTCTTGCATGAACCGTAAGCCGTCTTCAGCGTCCAGCGAACTTGCTGCCTAGTGAAGAGTCGAGCAGGAGAGTCCACATACGCTCATTAGCATGTTCCAGATGTTATGTGTTTTTCACTCTAACATTGCAGACAAAATATGGTAGGCTATCTTTGAGGAAACTTGGTAATTAGTTGTTCTGAACTTCTTGATAGCTACTTGTGTTTGGGGAATAGCTATTCATTAAAAAGACATAAGTGTCTTAATGGACATGTGCTAATGCATCAAGATATTAATATCCCATGTTTTGTGGGATGAAGCTCCTCAAGGGAGTTTTCACTTTAAAAACCCAAATGCATACTAAAGCAAAACCATTAAACAAAAATGAGCAAATCACAAGCAGAAAGGAGCAAATGCCCAGTAAAAGAGTTCAGAGGACCAGCAATGCCCTCTGAAATGAAAGCAACAACATTAACAAAAACCAAAAACTTAACAGTTCTACTCAATGCTAGCAAGCTACAAAAAAGGAGGAATGTACCTCCCTGGGAACAAATTACAGTGCCACCACCAAAAAAGGCCCTGGTATTCCCCTCCCCACCTCACATTGGACCACACATATGAAACCTACTGCGTTCAGCTTCAACATATGCTGTCAACCAATCTTTTTTGAAAAAAAGAAAAGGAAACAAAACAAAACCCATCTGTCCCCAGACATCTAAACATGTTTGAATAGACCACCTGGATTACCTCAAATTTATACAGACTCAAAACATAAGATGGTGTTGTCCAACTGCTGCAAAGACCTACGGACAGATAGCAGTTGAAAATCACCGCTTGTGTACCCCAGTTTTAAGAGTGGTGGAATCACCCCACACCTGTCCAGAATGAATGCTATGTAAAAGAGGGGAGGGTGAGGCGGTTGAGAGGGGCAGTTGCATTCCCATACCATGCTGATGTGGAGGAAAGGGAAGAGCAGGGGTGAGGAGCCTGGAGCAAGGACCAATTCCAGACATTGAGATGAGAGAGGAGGAGGTGTTTATCTCAAGGCCAGACTCCTCAGCTGCTCTGTGAATAACCAAGACGTACAGCTGGCGGGAGGTGATCTGGAGCAAAACAGTTTTGCAGAGACAGACGAGACAGGCTGGGCTCTTGAGGAGCGGCATGCGGTGAGGAGACACACTCGTCTTCTGAGAGCCAGTGTGGTGTAGTGGTTAAGAGCATGGGACTGGGACTCAGGCGATCTGGGTTCTAGTCCCCGCCCGGCCATGGAGCCAACTGGGTGACTTTGGGCCAGTCACAGACTCTCAGCCCAACCTACCTCACAGGATTGCTGTTGTGGGGATAAGATGGAGGAGGAGATGTAAGCTGCCTTGAGCCCTTTGTAGGAAAAAGGCAGGATATAAATAGAAAAAAAAAAGGCATGGGGCCCAGGCATGATCATAAGGAGCGCTCCTGGTGGTGAATACTAGATTGGGTCCCACAAACCACTGTCTGCATGCTCAGAGATCCCTTCTGGGTGTTTGTGCTTCTGGAAACTCTTGGGTCAATGAAGAACTTTTTGCAAGAAAGGTCTGTGGCTTCGACTGCATGAAGGGAGGAACCCTTGCTCATGCCAGAGGGCCACACGAAGGGCAAGATCTTACTTGGATCGCATGCTGCACCAACTGTACTCTTCCATCTTTGAGATGAATCAGGCTGACCCCCATCTTCTTCAGTATCTCCAAATGCTCAGGATTGCTCGCCATGAAATCCCGGGCTCTCAGAGGAGGTTTTGGCCCACTGCCCAAACTCTCCTCCCTGCAAGAGAAAGAGAATGCTGCTACCTGTGCCTAAACAATATGCAGGAGGTGCACATAACTGAAATTATGAGACACATTATCCCAAGAGGTCCCTGAATTGCCCAGACATTGATGGTAATGCTCCTGGAAGCTGGCTGACAGAAAATGTGCTGCAGAATCTCACGGGACCTTTTCTAAATCTCACCTCTCTCGCTGTACTGATTGCCAAAGCAAATGCTTAAATCCAATTCTTTCTTGGCCTCGTCCAGAAATAGATTTCTTGTCATGTCCTTCTGCACCTTCTTAAACATTCCTACTCCTCAGCGTACGCACCCTTCTGAAAAGCACAGGCCTGTGCTTTCCAAGCCCTGCTGCCTCTCCACTCTTTGGTCCTTTCTCAACCAGGACGGTTTCCCCAGCAGGGCAGCCCCAACAGACACCACCACCCACCACCCATTTCTGCCACACAGCATTCCCAATGCCAGATGTCTCCCTTGAAGCACATTGCCTTGTCTGGGCATGTGACATCCGCATAAGTGACACTCTGTGAATGCAGGCAGGCAGGCAAGCAGAGAGATGCAAACAAGCACAGCAACACCTGCCCTCTTTCCCCCTCCTTGTTCTCTCCACAATCCAGCCTTTAAGCTTTGGGATGCACTGAGGAAATAATGGGGGTTTAGGTACTGTTTCCAGCCACTGGGTGGTATACAATGGATTAAATCAATAATAAATGATACAAACATTTTTCCTTACAAACAGAAACTGCTTTTGATTAACTGAGACCAAGATCTATTGATAAGCTTATTAAATCTGCACAAACATTTGGTCAGGCCAAAAGGAAGCAGGGTCAGGTGCCATTTCTTATATAATGTGAAAATAAGATAATGTGGTTTAGCTTAGACATATGCAGAAAGCAAGTGCTCAGCAAAAGCTGCTTTTAAGGTTGGATTTTCTTTTAATCGGGATAGAGAAAGTACAAATTAATCTTACGCTCTGGAAATTCCCCTAGGACAACTCTTGTCCACCACATTTTTCAGAGGCTCCCTGATACTCTGGGCATACATGGGGTCGTTGGGAAAAAGGATTTGAGTGTTGGGGCACGTCCAGTCAAAGTTACTGTCATCCAGCTCTGTGTACTCTGTAGTCTGTAAAGGAAGAAAAGGCGGGTAGAATTTGCTGTTTCTCAGTTCCGTGGCCAGAGGTGACCACACTGAGCCAACAGCTCGCTTTCACTTGTCAAAGCGACACTTCGCAATGCCCCCCACCATTTCAACTCTCTGAAAGCGTTACTTTGCTCAAGGGGTGATCCTGATCCTCCTGCTTCCAGAGTACCTTGTCTGCCTCTTCTCCTGCTTTTCAAACCAGGCAACAACTGACAGCCAGGCAACAGTGTTCAAATTTGCCTATCACTATTACATCACGTGATCTCCCCTTCCGAGGAGCTTATACAGTCCTCCTTCGCTCCATTTTTTCCTCACTACAACAACCCTAGGAGACAGGATAGACGAAGAGTGAACGAGAGGTCTAGGGAGGTCTAGGGAAGGCTGAGTGGGACACGAACTTGCATCTCCCCAAGTCTCACAGCGACATCACACCAGCCCTTCTACATGTAGCCTCCTGTAGTCAGTCAGTTGCCCACTCCTTTCAACTGTTGAAACAGACAAAGAAATTGGCCAAGAAAGACGATACCGATGGGACATATTGGAAGACCAAGACACGATTAACAGATGAACACAACTGCACACTTTTCTGAAGCCAAAAAGCAGGTGGCAAAGTGGAAGCAGTCACTCCAAACGGTTGCTTGGGCACCCACAAAGGGGCCCACTGGCAGTGGGACAGGGAAGACATGAAGGAGAGCAGCGGAGATCACTGCTCTTGCGAGCCAGACCCCACAACCCACAGTGAAGCTCCTTTCCTGGATTTGGAGGATATGACAAACGACCTGTAGAACAAGGTATGGGCTTTCAGGTGAGTTGTTGAAAAATAAACCACCCTGCAAGAAGTAGCCTCAGGCTGGAGGACATAATTAATTCACCATGGCTAGTTAGCCATGACCAGCTGTCATGTCACGCAAAACTAACCTTTGAGTAACATCTTAAGAATAATGGAAAGGATATTTTAATTTTGGAGTTAAACAACTCAGATAGATTCAACTGTAGACTAGGATTCAAGATATTAAAGCAGGACTTACAATATTTTTCTTAGGGCCTGTTTGGTTTGTAGTAGATAGCCACAGAGGTAGCAAATGAGCCTCTGTAGTAAAGATATAGCCTTCTATATCAAAAGGCAGGTCTTCCTTTTCAGTAAAGAGTAAATATAAGTACTTGAACATTTCAGCCAGGAAGAAAGAATCCATCCTAGAAAAAGAGGAAAAATGTACTTTGAATATTATTTTCTCTTCTTTATGTCACTGCGGTAGCAAAAGGACAGACAGGATTACCTTTTAAATAGTGAACTGAGAAAGCGAGTGGTATAAGGATCCAGTTTGGATAGAAAGGAACTTTCTGTGGTCACTTTGAATATTCAAAGTATGATATATTTTATACATATTCAACCTTCCATTGAGGTGATTGGGGATTGCTATTCGATGCTCAAACTTGGACACTATAGATGTATTGTGGGTCAAAATCACCCATAGTTGAGATAAAATTAGTAGATTAACTGTGGATTGTTTAACCTATGATTAATTTATAGTGTCTGCGTTCTGACATCACAAGGCAACCTGTGATTGGAGATGGAATCTTTAAAAATACCACTGAATGCACCCTGAGTTAATTAACCTATGCCTTGTCATTGTTACATGAAAACAAGCCTGGTAATTAATAATATAAACAAAAGAGACTTCAGTGTAGTTTTTTTTCCCCAGAGAAAGTACACACATTCCAGAGTGGTGATAAGGACAAGAACAGTGTGTAAAGGACCACCTGTTCCCACATGATCTGGTCTACCTGTGCTAGGTATGTCCTCATGATTTGTTTGCTACTCTAAAGTTGCCTCTTTTTGTGTTACTTAGAAAGGCTTGGAACAAAAGGTGTACTTCTATGGGCAGAATGCCTTTCTGCCCACAGAAGAGCTATTTCTAGAAGAATGACTTCCTTTACACAAGTTCCCTCATGGGATCTCTTTATGGTCCACTTGAGTCTATATGCTACAACATTTATCTTGCTTCTTTACATGTGTTTCATACATAACGCACTCCAAATGCATGTACTGTAAGAAGTCTTCTTTTAGCTGGTACAAGAGTTCATAGAACAATGCTAATACATTTTCTCTTTCTGCTCCTGATTCTTTGGACTCAAGTCCTTGTTTTCAGGCAGCTCCATTTTCTGCTGTACAGTCTTTACTTAAACCATTCTTTTTGGTTTTAATAGATAAATAAAACAGGAAATATTTCTTGTTTTAGTAAAGGCTATGTAGTAAAAAATTATAAGTGCAAAGAAAGTTCATGAACATCAAATCATATATGTATGTTCCAGAACTTGATCAGTGACAAAATAAAGTTTAATCAAGTGATTAAACTTTTAAAATTGGGTTTTGCAGACATCTGTTTTAAGAGTTTAGAAACATTTGTCAGCAACTTACCTGTCTTCATGGCTTCCAGTACGAACATCCTTCATGGCAGCAAATCCACAAGGTACTCGTGCATATTTATTTAAGTTTTCAATTAGTGTTTTTCCTACTTCCAGGTAGTAAGGATCGCCAGTTGCCTGTTTTAAAGGTAGATGTTTTACATTTGTTTTTGGAGATAAATTGCCTGTTGATACATTTACCTGCTAATGCTCTCTGGACTAGTCGTTGACCTAAAGCCATAAGCAGTCCTAAAAATATAACTATTTGATTTGAAGGGCAATCTCACTGCATTAACTGGAGAACACTGTTAGAGAGAATTGCTTAGTGGACGCATTCAAGAAGGTTCAATGGACAAGCACTGCCTATCTCAGTGAAACTGTGTGCTCAGGTACATCAACTTTTTTAACCCATTCCTGTCTCTTCACAGAAATATTTCAGATGAACCAATATATTTTGCATATTTATTTAAAATATTTATATCCTGTCCTATATCCAATCAGGATCTTTAGCCAGCTGACATAAAAGATAGAACAATAACAAAGATTTAAAAATCCACAACGGCACTTTAATAAAAGCACAACCTACATTATATGTAGTAAAATGATTCTAAGCATTAAAATACTGGGCAAATACAAAGGGGTTGGCCTGGCACCAAGATGAATAAAGGGTCAATGCCAGGTACCCCTCTCTGTGGAGCAGAGACCACAGTTGGGGCGCTACCACTGAAAAGGCCCTTCCCCTAGCAGTCACTCTTCTAGCATCTTTCAAAGAGGGCTCCCTTAGATCTTACACATTAGTTCTGGCCATGAGTAAGGAGGTTTCAACCTGGTTAGACTCAAAGTAAGGATCCCAGCACAAGAAGAACGTGCCTGCTGTGCTAGAGAAGACTGAGGGTCTCTGAAGCATAGCGTTCTCCGGGGGAGATGCTTGTTTTCTCCTGTTTGTTTCCAGGGTCTGGTAAAATTCTACCTCTAAATGTGAAGGTTGCATTTGGCCATCACAGCTCATAGTCAGTTACAGAGCTTTCAACAAAACCATTTAAGTTACAGGCCATCCCCACCTCCTGTGACAACACCTCATCTAATCTGAGCATCAAGGAGAGAAGTCTGTATAGAAGACACGTCAAATACTTCAAGTGTTAAATCTATCTTGTATTTCAATGTATTTTATCATGTTGTAAGCCGCCCCGAGGTTTCGGCAAGGGGCGGCATAGAAATGTTATAATAATAATAATAATAATAATAATAATAATAATAATAATAATAATATCTTCTAAGATTTAATATGCTTTGAATTAGAAGACTGTCTTACTTTATACAAGAAATAGGTACTCTCTGCAAATTCTGGCCGTAAAGGATGCTGAGCCCAATGAACTCGGAAATCAGTTGTGAAAGCCTGAAAGGTAAGAGAGATAAAGCATTAACTTATTATCTTCCCCTCAGTTCTCTCACTTAAAATGAAGTAATTATTCTTCCCTTCTTACAGGCTTGGAGGCAATGCAGTTTGCATAGCTGTCTTAGCTGTAGACTTGCTGTGTTGCCCTAAGTCAAGATCTCCAAAGTCTTAATCTATTTACTGGGACCACAAATTGTAACATGAACTGGCATGGAATGTACAGTTTTAGGTATAAGGATATAAAGCTAGCCTCCAAGGTAAACCAATTCCAACATTTAGCCAAGCACCGAAAGTAATAAAGTGAGTGTGCTGTACGGGATGAAATGCTAGCATGTTAGTCTTGACTTCTCAACCATAAAACCCCCTTGGGTGATGGGGTTCCCCGCGGGACAGAAACGGGATAACTTTCACATACACCACTTTGAACTCCTTGGAGGGTTGTGGTGGAACATAATGTAAACCAACATGCCAATAATCCGTAACATGATTAGAACCACTGTGATTCTGCTACTTAAGTAACAGACAGCAGTCAAGTAAGGCAAATACTCGGAACTAATACAGCTATTTTCAGCATCCCAAGTGACTAATGGTTTGTAGCATATCATGAAAACTAAAGCTGGGGCACTAAATGGGAAAAAAGATGGGTCAGTTTTAAGAATGGCAGAAACGTATACACATCAGATAGTTGCATGATTCCACTAAAGGCCAGATTTAATATTTCTATATTGTATAAAAATAGATCACGTCCTTTACGATGCAGCCACAAATGTCCCTTTAAAGGCACAAAAATAATCCGAAACTGCCTTTTATTCAAGACTGTATGGTTCACTAACCACTAATCGTAGTATTGGACTATAATCTGCAACAGAAGATTCCCCTTTTAGTCTTTACTTCCTCCACTTAGCCACATTGGGAAGTAAACTACTCTTGTCCGCTCCAGTGTAAGTTACGATTCACTCTATCATGCAGTGTGTGAACAATTAAGGAATTCAGGTACATGCAATAATACACATGAAGGTAAATGTCAAGCACATGAATTAGAAGGAAAGCACTAGTCCCCAGTTTCCATCACTATCCGAGGGTTTGTAGAAAGACAGTTAAAACATGCTGCTAGCTGTGTATGCATTAATAATTTATTTATTTATTTTATTTAGAAAATTTCTAATTTTCTAAATAAATAATTATTATAATTATAATCCCTGACAAGAAAAACAATTCTCCCTTTAGTGCCAGATATAAACATCCCCCAGATAATATTGAATGTGTAACACATGCCTTCTGTCTTACCTCAGGAAGAAAGTTATGCTTTTTTATCACCTGATACAGCATTTCATGAGTTTCTATAGCTGGCCTAATATCACCTTTCAGCACCTAAAATCCAAAGAGAACAGGTAACATTTGCATCTTGTCTAAGCAAGGTCATTTTGATATGACAATTTCCTGTCTGGTCATGACAGGTTTTTCTCCAGTCTACAATGCAACTAATGTTCCCCCCCCCCCCCAAACCCCAACATACAATAGAGAAACTTTATAGTACCAGAAGACAATCAGGTAAAACACAATACTCCTACTGAAGATGCCATGTCTGTTCTTCTGCTGAAAAACTGATAATTCTGGTGCTCAAATATGGTAGGACTGGTCTGTCAAATAAGCTGTATATTTTTATATTCTTAATGTTACAAAGCAGTTAATACTAATTTAAGTCTTGCTATGAGGAGGTAGTTTTCTGAAAATGTATCTGCCAAATGTGGTTTTTCCAATGAGATATACAGAGCAATGTGACCACTTAAAAAAAAAAGGTACCAAAACGTATGCTTATACAGTTTGGCAGCTGGATAGTTTTTTAACGTATACCAATTTAAAACCACATACAAGAGAGAACTGGATAGGATATCCTATCCAGTACTGTCATTCCACCAGGAGGAGGGAATCACTGTTGAAATGAATTTCCCCCTCCTCTCTGAAGCCTTCCACACCCCAGACATATCAGTCCCAGAGGCTTGGGGGATCCTTCAGAGACATGTGGAATGTGTACAAGAGCAAGTGTGGTACCGTGGTTAAAAGTTTTAGACCGGGGCTTGGGAGATCCAGGTTCTAACCTGCACTCAGCCATGAAGGTCACTGAGCGACTTTGAGCCAGACTCTCAAGCCTAAATACCTCATAAAGCTGTTGCTGCAAGGATCAAATGGAGAGCAGAACCTTGTATGCCACTTTGGGTTCCTTGCAAGAGGAAGAAAGTTGGGGTATCAATGTGCTGCAGTAGAAGTAGCAATGGGAATGTTGATCTAAGGGGATCAGAGGACAAGGAGGAGGTGCAGTAAGCCCCAGTCCTGCTGCACAAGCACACTTCCCTGGCACGAGAGCTGAATCGCACCCTACGTATCAAGTCAACACGATATTTTTATTTATTTTACAGGGACAGGTGATTTGGGGTACATCATAAATGGAAATAATGATATCAAATACCAGAAAACTGGAAGTGGCTATTTATGGAGAAAGGAATGCACAGGGCACAGAGAGACACCCATATATGGTGGAATTCAAAAATATTCTAGGCAGCATTTAATTTCGGACTGCATTCTGTGGCTTATTGAAGGCAAAGGGAAAGAACAGCTGGCAGGGCTGTGCTGGGAGTTGTGAAGCAATGCATTCGAAGGGAACCGGGTTAGAGAAGGTGAGCTAGGCTATGGCTGGATTCTGCCACAATGAGAAATACGTCAGGTGTCCAGCACACTTTATAATATAAAGATGAAAAAGACATGTGGTCTCGGTTGGTTTGGGCTAGAACAACATTTAATGAAGTGTTAATTACACACTAATACAACCAGGAGAGAAAGAAAAAGTACAAGACTGTACTTTCCTAAGACTCTGCTAATTTCCCTTGGCTCCCTGTTTCAGACTGAAAGATTAAACTAAATAAATTGATCATTCTTTGTTTTTTTATAAGCCCATACTTCCCATTACTTGCCTTGAAACAAAATCTTTAAAAAAGAACATCAGTCACTGGGTGGATGGGTTAAACATTCCACACGTGAAAAAGAAAACCTACCTGCAAACCTGGAAAAAATGCGAGCAACGCATCCATCCACGTCCGGGCATTGAGCATTGGCTTGTGTATGTGCACATCGAGCAGAAGGGGTGGCTGGCTAATGTATCTCATTATGGCATCATAATGCTGGAAAACATCAGGCCCTTGTGAGCTCAGGTGGAACCAGTTAGTTTAAGTTACATCTAAAGAATGTGAACACGGTACATCAAATGATGGTGCAGAGGCCTCGGAAGAAACCGGTGCCCTACAAAGCAGCTGGTACTTCTTATTTAGCAGGGACCTCTCCTTAGCCAGCTTGCAAAGCTGAAGAACACGGGATGAAAACACTCAAACTGAATTTAAGTGGCATGCTAATGTCTCTTTGCAACCATCTTAAATGCAGCACAAGCCATTAAGACCGATATACATTCAAAACCCAAGCAGAATAACACTGTAAAAGGTTCTGGGTTTCCTCTCATTCACCTTAACCATAGTTCACAGCACTTGAATTTATTATGCTCCGGGCAAGACAGCTCCCTGCCTTAACCACTGCTTTCTTGTGGTTTCATCCCACCTCGCTATAGCAACACTTGAGCAGGCAGAGCAGATGAGCTGGGTGAGGCACACAGATCCTTCTTGAACCAGCAGCTCTGAGGAAGCCTTGTGCAGGTTTCCCTACCCACAGGGTTTGGGGCCTTCAAATGTTATGGCAGATGTCACTGGTCTTCGCAATTAGGAGCATTTCTTAACCCTCTTTAAAGGATTTAGTGTATAGCTTTCCAGATCTCAATTCTGCTACAACTCTACCTACTTCATCTTATATGCATCAATGTCTTTGACTTCCATTCATGATTATTTTTGAGTCACAAATGGCCGGAATAAGTTACTCTGACTTTAGCACAACTGCTACTAGATGATTCTTTCAGGCCGCAACCTTATTGTCCCTGGTAGAGCACCCTAGTGTCATAGGATAGACACTGAGCTCTCTCTCAGCCCTCAGAAGTATCCTTACTGAGAGAATGGAAATCTCCACAGCCCTCACCTCTGTGACCTTAACTGCACAAAGGGGGCGCTTGCCAAAAACAGATGGGGGAAAGACCGGACCTGTGCAGCCCATTGGCTGGACCAGACCCAGATGGGCAGCAAAACTATGTCAGCTGTGGGGCTCGTATAATTAATTTTCCTCCCACTGGAATCAATAGGATGTGGTCAGTGGGTGCGATGGCCAACAAGGGGTCCTGAACAGGTTAAAAGCTGCTCCCCTGTTGGAGCAGGGGGAAAGGCAAACAGTCCACCTTGGATTCTCCCTCCAAGGATTCCACTTAGAATTAGTTCAATTACTGGAACTAGCTGGAATTTGTTCAAGTATTTTAAAGCTGCTACATTTGTACTTAGCTGAATGAAGCAACTTTTCAGCTGAAAATGTGTCTTCCCCTGCTCCCAGGAGATAGCTATATTAGTAGATTATTGTTAAAACTAAGCAAGTCCAATAACATGCTAAGATTAGCAAATATACTGTGCTATAAATGTTAGTAAGAAAGACCCACTTACTGCTTTTGTCACCTTCTGTTTCCAATAGAGCTAACTTTAAGGTTAGGAACTCTATTATTAGTCCAAACACAGCAACTAGATTCAAAGCAAATCCCTTTATAGTCTTTGCTATGGATTACTAAGGTCTGGAGGGAGATTAACTCTGATGCCAAATAAATACATCAAACAATTGTGTTTTGTTAGTCAATGGAGGAGTAGCACCACAGAGCTATCTCGGATTCTGCAACAGCACATTATTAAGTGAACAGCAACAGATGTAAGGCTTTGTACACTTCTTACTACGTATTATGAAGTACATAGCAGGAATCCAAGTCTCATGGAGAAAGAAATATAAGCTCTACTCACTGTGTTAAATCTTTCCAGAAAACTGTCGTCTCCAAGCAAGACATAGGCCTTTAATAAATATTCATAATAGGAATCTATTCCTGCTCCAACTCCACTATCTAAAATCAAAATAAACATATTTTAATGTAATTAAGTTTAATTTCACAGTTTGTTTCTATTTTTGTGAAATGAGTCTGTGACCTGGCTCAAGTGATTTGAAAAGCCATGGTGGGTTGTGGTCTCAGTCTGTTGCAGAGTGGCTTGTCATGATGCCCAAACCATGGTGGGCTATGGTGGCCTTATGTGGTTTGACAACCGCCTGCAAGTCACCTGGAGAACCCAGGACTTTCTGATGGGCTGGCACCTGACAATCCATGAAAGATGGATAGATTTAACTAAGTTTTTACTGTTTGAAAAAAGCTGTGCCATACAATCCAATGGGATGTGTTTAGGAACACATGGAAGGACCATGTGGGAAATAAGCTATGGCAAAGGAAGCGGGGTCCGATTATCTGACTGCAGCAGCATGGGGTGAGTGGTTTGTTCTCAGGATAACTTATTATGGCAGGCAAACTCACCCAGAGAACATTTTGGCACCATATGTAGCCAACTATCAAATAAGAGGGGCTGCGGGAAGGCAGATTGAGCACATTGAAGTATGGATTCTTTCCAAAGAGTTTTATCTATACGCATGTCTATGGAATCTTTCCAAAGATATGGGTATAGATAAAACTCTCTGTCGGCATACAACTCGTGCTGGGACCCCCCCCCCCCGCCACGCATAAAACGCTTGTATCTGTTGGCACACAAGGTCCGCTTCTTGTGTATGCTTTCTGTACTTGCAGGAGCTGTGGCTGAAAGCATTCAGGGAGGGGGGCAGGCGGCAGGCAGCAATCACATCCGGCTCAGTTTATACATAACAGACACATCTCAGCAGTGAAATAGCCATTCACCAGGATGCCCGTGGGCTTCCTTATGTGCTCGGCCCGGTCTTCCAAAGCGAGCCAAGCTGAAGAGAAGCCCACGAATGCTTGTGGAGCCCCAGTTGTGCAGGCTGCTGTAACCTCCTTCCACATCGGCTTTGGGTGTGCGGGCAGGCACAGCCTGAGCCGTGCATGGGCTTGAGTCTTAGTGAGCAGCCTGGAAATGCGGGCTGCACTCGTCAGGAACTCTGACTCTGGGCTCCACAAAGCAGACTGGGAAGCGGAGCCCAGTGGATTGCCACCCCAGATGGATCCCTCACACATCCCTACTGGTATCGCAAGGATGTTTCACAGCATAAGTCAATCCATGCCAGCTTCCTACCTTTGCGGACCCAGTCACCCGTGTGGATATTAATCGTGACTCCCACTAAATTGCTGCTGCGTTGCCTTTTCTCCCAAAGAAAATCAAGCGCCTTCCGTGCATATTCCTGTAACAAAGTTGTGCAGCATTTAACAAGAAACCGATCAAATGGAGTGCCTGAACCCATATATGCCTACCCGGCCATTAAGGTCAATGCAGGGGAGCCTCTTGCGTGAGCCACCCTTTCGGGAGGTGAGGGGGTGGCAGCTAAGGGGAGGGCCTTTTCTGCTGCTCCTTCCCACATTCGGAATGCTCTCCCTAAGGAGATCTACCTGGGACCTTCTTTATACTCTTTTCTGTGTCAGGCAAAGAGCTACCTCTTTAAAAGACATTTTAATATTTATTAGTTGCTACTTAACCCTCCACTTGCATTGATTCTAATGTAATTTTATCCAGTTTTATATTAATGTATGCCACTGTTTAATTGTTTAATAATGTATTTTAATTGTTGGCCACCTAGAGATGCCATGAGTGAAATACGTGGCATATGCATGTTTAAATAAATCAATAAATAAACTGATGTTGAGAAACTGATGCAGATGGCTTGTGCGTCCACTTCATTACAAAACAAATCCACAGGCAAAGCTAATCATGGGGCTAACACTGAGAGAGTGACTGGCTTGAGGCAATTTTAAGTATTGTTGAAGCAAAATCTGAACAGGGGATTTCTACAGCCAATTTGCCACACTGCTGCACTAAAACTCACCTACAAACCACTGGAATGGCACAAGGGGTGCATCCCATTATCAGAGCACCCGGCGTGTAAAATGCTTTGTTTTCCCTTGTTGCAAATGTGTGTATGTAAATGAATGCTCATAAAAGCGACCGATGAAAGACTGACAGCCCAACATGGTGGAGGGCTACTGTTATTGCCATCTCTGGTGTCAAACGGATCTCATGCTACAGTGTTTAGTGTAGCAGGTGCCACACTGATGATATACATAACACTGTTTTGTTACATAGTTTTTCAATTTGCAAACAGATAATTTCAAGGACATTTAAAACTAGACCTCCAGCTAGAGAAGGGATTTACTATCTTGCTGTCAACATTAACAAAAGATACAAGTGGCACATGAATTCATGAATTAGTTATTAAGCAAACCTCAAATATTGATGCTCCTGTGAAGCGGCTGAGAGCAGCAAACTCCAGGATCAAAGTACCAGCACAAGCTGTGCAAGTGTCTGTCTCCGTTCCCGTCCGTGCTTCGGGACTTCTTACTCCAAATTTCAAGTTAACCTACAAGAAAAGGTGCCCAAACCTTTAATTTTTCCTCAGATTATCTAAAGTATATACTTATGAGTTAAGTATTTATGAATTCAGATTAAACGAATGGTTGATTCTTGATAAAACACAAGTTCAAGAATTTAAATTCATTGCATTGTGGCAAGAAAAATGTGTTATATTCTAACAGAGTTTAAAGGCCAAGGAAAAGCATCATGAAAAGTGAGTAAATAAGCACTGGGAAAACACCGGAATTTGATCCTGTATTATGCGTATTGACTGAAAAACCATTTAGCTACCAAATTAGCTTAAAAACAAAGATTTCCATTACCTGATAGCTCTGAAAAGGCATCTGAACAACTGCACTACTATCACATTAGAAACATTTCCTTACTGATGTCACAGAACATGCATTGCACTTACCAGAAATTTTTAGATCTTTGCATGCCCGTGGATGTTTTATGCAATTTAATTTACTTTATTTCCAGTTTTTTGCCAGGAATGGTGCTGGAATGTGCACATTAGCAGTAAACTGCCAGATGAAAATTTAGAATGACTTTCAGCACTAAACTTTGTGAATCCTAGAAAAAAATGTCCAGACTATGGCCATGATCCAATGCAACTGAGATCTGTGAGGCCAAGATCATGGAGCTTGAACATTATTTGGTAAAGGGCGCAGAAGAAATGGCGGCAAACAAATGTTTTTAAAAGAAATTAAGCCACACTGTTGGCTATTCCACTCTATTAAATGAACATTACATACACACAAAATATCTAGTATTAGGAGCAGAAATACTGTGTGTTGTATCAACTGTCTATAATTAACTAACTATATAACAGGGCTGAAGAACCTCTTTCAACTCAAGGGCTGAATTCAACCTCTGAGAACTCTTATAGATCACTTTCCAAAAGTACGTAGGACCAAAAGCAAAAGGGGTAAAGCCAAAGAAGCAAAAATGCCAGCATATATTTGCATAATGTTCTTATTGCTAGCAATAACCCCTAGGAGAAGAATTTCAGCCTTTTAGAACTGGGAGAAAACTGCACAGAAGTCAGGAAACATTTGAATTGTCAGCAGCTGAGGAATTGCTGATCCAGCCAGTGGCTTTCTGGGAAACTTTGGAGGGCTCCATTGAGAGCACCAGATGGTTGGTTTTCACCAACCTGTACACCTGAACTATACCAAGGGTTACATTTGTTTAGTTGCAAACCTATGCAATAACCTATCACGACCCCACGGACAACATTCCTCCAGGCTCTCCTGTCCTCCACCATCCCCCGGAGTCCACCCACTCATACCCACTGCCCCATATTATACTTACTCTTGGAAATGGGAGACCACTAGTCGTGTTAAAAGCGGGCAAAAGCTTGTAGCCCAACTGCTTTGCCATGTGCAGAAGTTCCCCATTGTACCACTGCATGTCGTCACCCTTCTCTTTCAGCATGATCGCTACTGAGTGCCCACCTAAAAGACCACTAAATACACAACAAAAATACAATTCAGGAGCTACACTCAATTTATGAAAATGCTTACTCTAACATAGGGAATGCTTAAGGGCTGGATCAAAGCAAACCAGGAGCCATCTACTCCTAGGGTTGAATGAGGGTTCAACAACAGCTTTAGCCAGAAGCAGCACTTCCTCATCTATGGAGGGCAATGGCCAGAAGTCACTGTATCAGACTAGAAGAACAAGGGTGGGAATGTTTGGGTGCAAGGAGGAAAGGATGTGGTGGAGGGAACATGAGATCCCACTAACAGCTTCAAATCCTTAAGCTATAGTTAATGGTTACATCAGTGCCAGCCACGAAAGTAACACAGCTGCGGAGAAACTAAGAATGAAGCCAGTGCCCTTCACTAACATAACCGTGGCTGTGCTGAGGCTGCCATTTCACAGAACTGCAGAGAATCACAGACTGCAGTATAAAGTACAGAATTTAGCACCCTGAAAACCTCCAGAGCAACATTGCATTTTCCATAGCAGTCCAATGAAAGATATGAGAGCTAAAGCCCCTGATCCTGCTATCCATAGCTTTATTTCCCATATATTTCTCTAATCCCCTTTAAGCAATTTCAACTGGTGACCCACATCCTACCTTATGAAGTCTGAACTTTAATTTAGGGCTGCTGGTACTGATGCAATGCTATTTTTAGCAGCAGGCATCAACACCAGCTAGATACTTATAATGAACTGTGCAAAATTGTTACAAATTAGAGAGAAAGGCAGCCCAATATAAAGCAGAAATATACACTAAAGTAAATGCTACAAAAGTGCAACATATTTATCAATCCTAGTAACAGCTTTGCAAACTGTTTTATGAACTGTAGCTTCCTGCTATGTTTAAATACCTGCAAAACAGATATGTTTAACTCAGATTTAACCATACACTTTTCCTCAGGCATAGCACTTACCCAAGGACTCTTATGTTAGTTTCAAACACTGATACTACGATGTCGTTGTCTAAATTAACATCTCTAATCACTTTTCTGACAGCTTCATCAAACTCTTTGGTTTTATTTAACACCTGCAAAACAAAGACAACCTTTAAACAATCTGATCTCCTGCTGTGAAACTGAGTTACTATAGGAATTACTGTGGGCTTCATAGTAATACAGCAAAATGTATTACATCCAAAACAGACTAGGAAAATATATATGATGGGAGATTAAGGGTTTTATGATGGAGTAGCACCCACACCATATAGCACTAACACTACTAACATCATCTGTAGTCTACATAAACTACAAAAATCAGAAACTCTTAGAAGGGCATTTTTCTAAATAAAAAAGGAGAAAGAGAAAAAAGAAGGGAGGCCATTCTCCACCACAGCCATCAGTTAAGAAATACCATCATAAGTTAAATACCAGTATCAAAGAATGCATAAGGATAATATTAAGCACAGAATCTCACACGTAAGATGTATGTCAGAACATACTAAACCTACCACAAGAGTGTCCAATGTATCAATAAGCGTCAGCGAAAACCTGGGGATGGGAGAGAATAAGAAAAAAAAAAGCCTGAGTATATTTGCAGCAACTTCAATCATCTTAGAGACAGAGCAAAATATGTGTCACTCATTACAAAGTTTCAGGCATCCTAGTCTGGAGAATGAGGCTATCACAAAATGGATCATACACTGCTGTGATCAAGTGACATTCACCCATGGCTGTACTAGTTAGGGGATAGTATAAGCTGTGGGATAGAGGTAGATCCTTGCTCCACTACCTATACAAACCTCAGCCTAAGGCAGGGCTTATGTGCATACAGCAGCACCCCCCCTCCCACACACACACAAATCTGCCCTGTTTATGTCTCCCTCCCATGACAAAGAAGGGGCTGAAATGCTGCATGGGCAGGGCCAATCTCAGAAATGCAAGACTCTATAAGTGGGGTGAAGGGTGCAGGAGGCAAAGATTTTGAAACATTTTTCACTCTATCTGTGGGTTTATTTGTCGATTTTTTTTAAACTGTACCTAATTCATAAAATACATAGAGATGGCTGCTAGGAAGAGGGCTTTTTCTGCAGCTGCTCCCCATATTTGGAATGCTTTCCTCAAAGAGATTCGCTTGGCACCTTCCTTATATTCTCTTTGGCACCAGGCGAAGACCTCCCTTTTTAAAAAATATTTCAACAGTTAATGCCACTCAACTTTCTGTTTTGTATTTTTACCCACAGTTTATTAACATTGTGTTGTAATTAGTATTTTTATTGTGTTTTATCTTGTGATCGTGAGCCACCCAGAAGTGCTGTGGCACAACTGGGTGGCATACAAATATTTTAAATAAACAAACAAAACTACCCCATAGGGTTGTTGCTCTGAGCAGAAAATGCAGCTTTGTAAGTCACCCTGGGTTCCTCAGAAGAGGGGAAACGGGAGCACAAACAGTGTAACAATAATTATAGCCTGTATAGCACTAAGCAATACCACACAAAGATTTAATGGCAAAGTATGTGGGTATTAAATTTTGGCACTATAATATTTACTGTGTTACCTCCGGATAGAGAAATGGTATTTGCTGATGGCTGCAAGATTGCCAATGTGTGGCTCCTGGTTAACACCCTATTTTGGATTAACAACTTATGTGAATTAGAAACAAGATCAACACAGTACAGTACCTAATTCAGCTCTACCAAGAAGCTGCTGACCTGCACACATTTTACTGATCTACTTGACCACACGCAACTATGTTAGTCACAGGTAACCTAGAAGGCAAACTAGCTTTTGTATCACTCTTCTTCCCAGTCAGGTGTGCTTTATTCGCCACAGAAAACCAAGCAAGGGGTAAGGGCCAAATCCAATGTGAAGGAAAATGCATGAATGCGCAGTATTGTTATGTAAGCAGCAGCCAAAATCAGACTGCACGGCATGGCCGGGGAGGCAGGGTGCTAGCTTATTTCCCTCTTCCGTGAGCTTTAAAAAAACACTTTTTTTTTGGCAGAACCATGGTAGGATGTGAGTTAAACTCTCCCCACCCCATCTGGTCCTGAGGCTGTACAGGCTTTCCCGCGATTGCTATTTATGAAACAGAAAAGCATGTTAATCAAATTTATGCAACTTATGTCATGCCTAGTTTGGCCTTTATTCTATCCTAGAATGTTGTCTCATGTGTTTTCCTATCCTGTAATCAAATTCCCTTCCACAATTATGTATCCAGTATTTATACTCAGGGCAACATAGCTTTTAAGGGCAGACCTGTATCACGACACCTGGAACAGCAGCAGCAGCAGCTGCAGCAAACAGCGACAAAAATGTGGTTTGCAGAAATGTGATTGTTTCAATATACTAACTTGCCCAAGGCATCATCCACATCCCCGCGACTTGGTTCTTGACCGCGAACTCTTCCCCGGCAGGTTAAAGGCATGAGCTCGTCAGCTGGGTAGGCATGTTCCTGTCAATCGCATAAGAGGAAAAGCACATGGGTAAACTAAACAGGTGGGTGGGTTGAAATTTGTCAAGCTGAGGCCATATTGTTCCACACACACTGTTGCAAATGAGGGAAGTCAGGAGGAACACAATTTCTAGGACCCTGGAGTAAAACATGCAAACATCTCTATGTGGAACATTATGCTTCTTCACGGACTGAATTACCATTTTGACTAGGAATACAGCCACACAAACTTTCCACATATTTAAGAAGTACGGAAGGGAAAAGATAATCTGCAGGGCAGCTGTCACCAAGCCACTGATGTGGATTTATTAGCAGTAGCGGAAGATTTTCTGGGTCTGGGATGGGCTCCTTTACCTACCACACAGGTTGCCCTTTCCCATCCTCTGGCCCATATGGTTTTCCACTGTGATTGTCGCCTTATTCTGTGTACTTTGAGAGTTACTCAGAATTGGCTGCAAAGCGTTTGTAGCAACAGCTCCCCATGCAGCCGCTTGGTGTGGCACACCATACCGATCGCCTTCACTTACTGCAGAACAGGGCGCATGAGTACGCACAGAGGAGCTGCACGTATGTGTCGGAAACAACAGATGCGTACACACAGGCGTGCTGCACAAGCCTTAACCAAGTCAGGACAACTTCTTTCTTTAGGTTCTTAAGGAAGGTGTGGCATTGCAACTGAAGCACTGATTGCGATTCAAGTACTGCTTACCAGGATGTTCCACAGCTGTGGCCACTGCTCCTTCAGATTAAAGGAAGGCATTTGAAGGGAGATTTGCACATTAAAGAAAACTGAATTGCTATCCTGACGGTCTAGTCAGCCAGTTTATTGTCTTTTCTGCTTATTTGTCTAGGCATCCAAAAATGCCAAGATAATATTTGTGAGACCAAGGAACCCCTAGCTCCGAAAGAGTAACAGAAAACAGTCATTAAGCACATGGATCTAAGGACAATGATAAACTATGAAAGGGGGTATGTCACTGATCTTTTCCACATTAGTCAATGTGATTCAGTGCTGCAGGATTACAAGAAAGTCTGCAGTGAACACAGATAAGCCGGCTGGGAGCTGCAGTCAGGTGCCCACGAATACATGCCTAGCAAACACTGTTACAAGAACCAAGTGCCTTAATAAAAATAACTGTTCGTGCCTTGTGAACGGAACGACGGTACACGAAGCTGCTGGGGGACCAGGTGATCCAGAGGTGTAGGCTGAGATGTTATCCATAAATGGATGCCACCCAATAGTATTTCTTCTTTTCATCAAATCCAGGTGAGGAAGCAGGTACTCTGAATCAGTACCTGGGCATGGGAATGAACTGGATGAGGGCCAATATGATAAAAGTCAATCCAGACTAGACCGAAGTACTGTTAGTGCACAGCTCGCTTGCCCAGAGGAGTGATATTTAACCTGCTCTGAAAGGGGCTGCATTCCTGCCAGTTCACAGGCCAGGTGTGCTCTTTGGGTGGACTCAGTGGCACAGAGCATCTTATGTCAGCTAAGGCTGATATACAGGGATAGTTCAGCAACAGTTATTAATGTGCTGGTAAATTCTTGGCTGGATTGCTACAATGTGTTATACAATGGGCCACCTTTGAGTAAGGTCCAGAAACTTCAGCTGATCCAAAGCAGGGCAGCAAGATGGTTGAAGGGGACTAGAATACATCTTAGGCCAGTACTCTGCCAGCTGCACTAGCTGCTAATCCATGTCTGGGCATGATGCAAGGTGCATTCAAAAGCATAAATGGCTTTGGACCAGGTTACCTGAAAAATTGTTTCCTCGCCCATAAACTGCTCTGGATTCTAAGATCATCCTCCATGCCCCTTCTCTGGGAGCTCCCACCAAAGGAAGCAAATCAGCTTCGAAGAGAAGCACCTTTTCTGCTGTGGCACCTGGCTGAGGAATGACTTTCCTTAGAGGATCTCTTGACACCTATACTGAATTCTGTTTAGTTCCAGAGCAAGGCCTTCTAATTTTCCTGGGAATTTTAGTCTTTTTGTCTGTTTTAAATCCTTACTGTTTAAAATCTTCATACTGCTGCTATGTTTTATTTTATTCACACAGTGGTTTAAAATTTTTGAAGTATATTTTCTGTTGCATTTTATAGCGTTGATTGTTATGAACTATCCAAACAACTTTGGCTATTAGACAGTATATAAATGGGATGGATGGATGCAAGCTTATAGTGTCAGGAGTTATGTCTGTCCATCAGAGCTGGCCAAATAGAATAAGCTACCTCCTGGACAAGAGGGCAGTAGTACTGAAGCTGTATTAAGCAACAGCTCGAGTTTCTGCAAAAGGAGTTTAAGTCCAAGAGCAAAGGTCAGAACGGAAGACTCTAAGCAGCAGACAACATCTTCCATCAGGGCACAAACACACCATTCTAAGTGGATGGTCAGGCAGGGACTGCAGCTTAGCAACATATTGAAGACAGAGCTGTTCAGAATGCAAATTCAGCAGCGGTTCCTGTGCTTCGTTACTGAAACTACGTACGGAAGAGAAGACATATGCTGAGACCTCTTGAAAGGAATAGCCTGGACTGGTCTTGCAGAATTAAACAATACAGAACTACAGTTCAGTTTTGAGCAAATCAATGCCCTGTAATTGTGCAGGATAGGTGTGGAGTTAAACATGTGAGCTGGTTTTCGTATAGTGTAAGCAAACTTCTTGTCCAAGATTAAAGTAAAAATTTTGTGATGAGGGTCATTTTCATTCCAGGTCAGGATGTAAATTCTGCTTTTGGCCAAGGTGCAGGTAGTTCTTGACTGAACAATCTGTAGCCATTCAGGAAAGCCCATGGAGAAAGGTACACACTCACATGCACACACATGTGGATGTATTGAAATATATAATTCATGTTATTCTGTAGCTGCATTTTAACAAACTGCATATTCAAGGCTTTGCAACTTAGCAGGAAGTTGTCTACCTCTCAGTCTATACCTACCTATAAGCAATTATGAACTGTGAGGTGCAGACAGACATAAGATGATCTTATCTCAGAAATACTTCGCAAGCTACAGGGAACCACTGCCTATGGAAAAGCACTGGGTATTTATTATCATGTTATCCGCTGCAAGAATGCCCTACAAGGGACTTTCACAAGGCAAAGGCGAGGGGCAGAAGGCATCCACAGTTCCTTGCACACCATCTGGCAGCCACTGGAACTACTTGCTCTCCATATTACCAACAAAACAAAAGCGAGAAAACGCAACAGGACAGCTTTCACTGCAAGCCTATGAGTGCTCTGAGTACCTGATGAAACTTTGATGGGAAACAGTACTTCTTATTACTAGCAAAAGAACTTTCTAATATATAACAAAACATAATGGAGTTCTCTGTATAAATACAGGAAATCATATACCTTCAAAAGAAAAACTTGAATGTCAGAACTCTGCAGGAAACTTTAAAACGCTTTGCTATCTTACTGTCAAGTAAAGCTTAAATCCTTTATCTTGCTCACCAAGTTCAGCAAGCACAGAAATGCAATTTGTTGACTTAAGGCCCTAGTATACGTGGCAAGAAAATATCCTTTTGACTTTAGAGTTTCCAGGATGTGCCAGGTCATACTTCCTTATAACCCGAAGATATTTTTTTTGCTGCAAATGTAGAAAAAAAGCCACCCTTTTCCAGTCAATAAGAACTAAGATTAAAATCACACTCAGCTTAATACGCTTCATCCTACAATAGAAAATGCCCTAAACACAATGGGTTCAAATTCCTACCAATCTCTGAAGGCTGTTTCACACACTACATTTAATGCATTTTTTAATTCCAGGTATAAACATACAAGCAGACAGCAACATGTATGAATGTTGTGCACGGGCACGATATGCTGTTCACAAACTGTGAACAAGCAGTCCAATAACAAAGGCGATATTAACCTGTAACCTGTTCCAGAGTTTTTTGCAGTTAAATAAGCAACACCACACACTTTTACTTTGTATTGCTGAAGCAATTTGTGCTATTCTTAATAATGATAATAGCAGTGACAAAATACATTGTTTCAATAACCTGTACTGCAGATTTATCAGAAGATCTGCTTTACCGCCCTCTTCCGACAGAATCACAATAGAAAGAATGCTGGGTTTCCCAGCCACCAGCTGAATTTGTGGGTAGGGTGAGATTTCAGTAAGGAACATCCTGGCTCATAGCATGCACTCCGACAGGGCCAGAGGGTACACTAGAAAAGAGCTCCAATCTTGGAGCTGGAGACCCACACTCAGCTTCTCCTACCCCCCCAACCAGGTTAGCTGCTTCTCTGAGGTCGTAAGAACAACCTCAGAGAGGGGTGAAGGGGGGGAGAAGAGGAGACTCTGTCACCAGACTCTTTCTTCCCTGTCCCAAATACCTCAGCTAAACAGCCAAACCTGGCCATCTGGGCGATTTGCAGGGCAGGAAGAGTGTGGAGGCCCAAAGATTGCCTCTGTGCTACTCCCACTTTGCGTAAGATACCCATAATCCTCCAAGTTTAGAAGCTTAGGGGCATCCCCACTGGATTACACCCTTGGGCACCAACACTACACAACTCTTCACAGCACTTAAAACATTAAGCAGCCCCCGTGAGGCAGGGTTTCTGCCTTGCAGCTCCCATCTGCAAAACAAGCAGTGATCGTCTATATCACAAGGGGTTTGGGTGGGGAGGAGGGGGAACAAAATAATTTCTGATGTGTCAAGAACTCTACTATTTTTAAAAGCTGCTATTGAGGTTAATGTTTTACTGCACATTACATTCTGAGGAAAAGAATGAACAGACCTGAGAATTAGGCATGTACACAAAACTCTCAAGAGACAGCTGTTTGCTCAAGGTAAGCAGCTGCTGGTTTCATCAGGAGTGAACACACCTTTCAAAGCCCCAAAGTAAAATAAATCATTGCATTCTATGTCTCAGTTCTATCATCACACCAAATCATGAATTTTACTAACCACAGTTTACAACTTAAACCATGGTTTAGGCAAGCTAAGGTTTAGAGCCATTTGTCTGCTTTCAGTTAGTATTTTTTCAATGGGTCTCTAGTGCAATAGCCTCCAGCAATGGAGTAAGTCACATCTACAACTAAAAACAGAATTTAGACACTATGCCAGACCATGTTATTACTAAATCATGTTCCTGTGTTAGTTTGTAAACTGATGACAAACCATAATTTATTAATTCTGATATTAGACCAAACCACAATGCAGTTTTCTTTGCCCTGGGGGTTGCGGTATCTACCAAGTCAAACGTACAGGTAAATCAAACATTTGGATACAGCTGTCTAAACATTAGACAAACGCCATCAGAATTAGAAGTACTACTTGAGATTGATGGAGCCTGCTTCTCACCACATTTACAATTGGAATTCAAGAGTATACTCTTCAAAAGACAAACATGAAGGTCACCCAATCTACTGATGGTGTGTATGAAAAATACACGAAAAGTCTCAGAATGCTAGTTTGAAAATAGACCAAATCTATTAAAAGCAGCCTGTTAAAAATAATTGTGCTCATTGTACTTACCATATAATTACTATAGGCATGATCAAACATTTCTACTACTTGATTCCTGCAAAAGAGATAAAAATAGGATGATTTGGTTGGTAGCTTCAAACCTCCTCTGAATGAGAGATTTAAACAGACACACTCAATACCAGAACATTAAGAGTGTCTTCATGCAGGTGCAGCTCCATGATCATTTGGGTACATTAACAAGCTAAACACAAAACAATACATAATACACGTGTCATCTTTGGATGTGAAAAAACTGCTAGCAGATTCTATCTGCCTTCTAACCACTGTTCATTTACAGACACTTCATTTATCATCATCCACTTAACTGACAAGAATGACAACCAAAATTTTAACTCACGTATACCATGACCATAATGCATAATTACTGAGAAATAAGTCTTGGTGAGTCCAATTAGATTAATTTCCTAGCATGTTTGCACAAGATTATAACTTTAGGCTGCAATCCTATACATACTTACTTGGAAGCAAGCCAGACTAAGTAATGATCACTTCCAAGTAAATGTGCAGAAAACTGCTATACAACAGCAACAGATATTTCTGATTTTTTTGCCAATAGGATGCACATGAATGTGTTTTCATACTAAATAAACAACTTCACTGGTTAGAGGACTACAGCTGGTGTGATACCTGAGAGATTGAGCTATGGACCATAAAAAAGCCCAGCTGTACCAGATCAAAAGTTCCAATCCATATTACACAACAGTCAATCAGGTGCTTCCAGGAAGTCTGCAAGTAACATATAAGCACAATACTATAACAACTTGTTAAACCTTGCCTCTGCCACAGAATAAGGGCAGCTCTATAAACAATAGTTGAGAAAACCCATACAGAAATGTACTTCTAGACATATGTACACTACTATTTAGAGATGCATGCAGCTCATGTATGACACCCACATATCGTATGTTCTTGTTGGAAATACCACTGTGCAGAAATCCCTCAGGAACTCAGGACGACTTGTTCAAGGTTACCTATCTGAGCTGTTGTAGGAAAAGAATATATTCTATTCCATTAGAATACTTCCTATGTTTTCCACCAAAGAACTAAAACAGAGCAAACATACAAGATTATCCATTACGAGTACATTCTAAACCAGTGAAGAGACAGTACAGCAACAATATGCTCAGTACTGGAACTGAGATGGTCTGAGTGCCACCCAAGGAGACAATGCTCTTTTAAAATGCTAACCAGAAAGAAAGAGAGAGAGAGACAGAAAGACAGCCAGCCAGTCTGAACTTATAACATTAAGTGAAAAGCACACTATTATGGGATATTATATAATGATCATAATTAATGTGCTCCTACAATCAATGTTAAAGAAAACCTATGGCCCATGTTCATTTTTGTCCCAATAAACCATAAATATTTGACTTGAAATGTCTGAGGAAAAAATTAAAGCACACTTGTGGCTCAATCCTATGCATGCTTAGACAAAAGAAACTCCTCTAACTCACAGCATTCCCCAGCTATGGCTATGCTGGGAGTTTCAGAACTTTCTAACCATGTACAGGGTCGCACACTTACTGTATCTTCATGGCACTTTATGTAGACATTTTTACTTGGAATACTGATAAAAATTTGAATAGTATGTACTTCCTTTATGCTGTCTGAATCTGAAGGTGGAAAAGATCCTAAAAAGTGTTGATACACTAATTCAGAGAACTCAGAGAAACATGCAACATATGTTGACAAATCTCCCTCTACTTCAGCGAAGCATAACTCTCTTCCACTAATGTCAGGGCTTCTTTACCTTTGTTGTCGTGATTTATTACTCCCACTTCACTCTGACACACAGCTGAATTTCAATGGCATATACATATTCTCTCAATATAATCACCTGAAAAGCATTAATTACCATTTTAAAACTGCCAACCTTGCCCAGTGTATTTGTAATACATTTTTTCTAGCAAACATATGGAACTGAAAATTTTCTGCAGAAAAAATAAGCACCAAAAAATGTTCTGTTTTCAAAATGTTCACATCTCTTCTCAAGATTTTTAGAAGCATGTTTGCCTGGAATATGCATTTGTTCAAACCCTATTGAACATAGAAACATAATCCTACTGTACATTCAGATCAAAACCATTAGTCCATGTAGACACCATGTAAGGTGCATCAAATATTTTTCATCAATTCCGTCACGAACATTTTAAGCTCTCCATAAGTGATCACAAATATGCATCTGAACCCATAAATATTGCCCTCTAAAAATGTCAGTATAAGCCTAATTTAATTCTGCTTCCAATAGATGGTATTCTCAGGCATTATGTAGAGTGATCTGTGAGAAATGGCGTCCTGTGCATATAAGTGAACTACTATCCCACAGCTTATTACTTTTGGGTGAATTGCTGTATGTCTTCTAGACATAAGTCAGACAAGAATAAATTTAGATAGATACCTATTAATTAGAAGGCACCATCACCACTATGAATCTGACATAATTATGAGTTTTGGGAATACGAGTTTCATCAAAACAGCTCCTTCATGTGTAGCTATATTTCTCCTTCATCTTATCTTGAAGACTGAAAGCAAGAAACTATTTAAATCAGTCAATCAAAATGCCTATTAAGCAATGAGAAGGCAGCCAAAAGCTTTAGCACCTCATTCTGTTATAGCTCCAATGTACTATCATGAGTTCAGAAACAGTGGCAGATACTTACAGACCAGCAATATTGATCTCTAAGAATGTGAGAAGACAGCAGAGCTAATATGAAGGAAGCACATTTTTTATTTGCTGAAGTAAGGCGGGACGGATAGTTAACACATATTTCCTACATGAATATACATGCCTATTTTCAAGGTGTCATACTGTTATAGCTCAGCAGCCCTCTGGAATAAACAGGCCAAGGTTTTGCCTAATTCTTGAAGCAGCAACCATACTACTAGCACCTGGAAGAACACCTTTGCAGAAGTAAGAAACAGCATCAACATTTGAGTAGAACAATATTAATCTTGTCCGAATTACTGAAATGGATCAAGGGAACAGGGCTGCAATCCATCCACAAAGTGCAACAGAGCACTAAAGTGAAAGACGAGTTCAGTGAGATCCATACCTGCCAAGATATCATCTGGAGAAGGAAATGTGTACTCAGAAAAAACTTGCTACTTATTTTATATACTCATTATTAGCCTTAAAAGTTTAAGACTTTCCTCCTCCTCCTCCTCCTCCTCCTCCACCACCACCACCACTACCACCACCATTTGTTTATGTATCACTATATTCCAACATACTGCATATTTCCTGAAGCCTGAGGGTAGTTCAGCTTTCAATTTACCTACACAGAAGCATTTAAGGAAGATACTGATTAATAAATGTATGAAAAAATGAATATTATGAGTTACAGTACTAGTTTGCCAGTTCCTGCTCACTAATATTTGCCAAACAAATTTCAGGAATGACAAATCCAGAGATTTTCAGAACAATGCCTCCACAGGTATACAAACGCACAACAGCAGAAGTAGGATTATGTCAAAAGTAGCCCCGACTCTTGCTGTTTTATGCAATCTTATTGCAGACTTCTTGAGGGAACAACATGACACCTCTTGCACAATGGAAAGACCATAAAGACATGGTCCAGTTGTATATAACCGACATGCACAGATGTGCCAACTGCCAAAGCAGATGGATGGAGCAATCCTATAGTCTCCAGATACTGCCTGATGAATTCTCAGCTTTGAGTTCAGAGACAATGCTCTGACTTTAGAGCTGGGAATAGGAACCCTGTTCCCCCTCTCATGCTCACTCATAACTGGCAAAGAAAGAACCACATGGACTGCTTTCTGAGGCTGGAAAAGCCATCCTGAGCAAGAGTAAAATGGGGCATTTGGGGGAGGGGGAAGTTAGTGGAAAGACTAGGATATGCGGTATCTTGAGACTGCTCCAGCCACCTTTCCAGCTCCAAGCCTATCCAGCCAGATGAGCACAAAGAATGGCCTTCACTGCTTCTCCCACTCTGCATCAACCTTCAGGTTCAGAGACTTACAGGCATCCCAACAGGATGAAGGCTAAGGAGCCTTCTACGGGTTGAGAAATTTTCCAGCTATGAACAATCAGCTCTCACCTATGCACGCTCTTTGCCTACCCCCTGTCCTAGTATAGGCACACTTACATTTGCATGAGCAATTGTCACATCTTCAAAACTCAGGCAAAGTAGCAAAAGTGTCATCACTTGCTTATAATCTAGACTGTCTCATCACTGGAGAATTCAGTGCATACAACAAGAAAATCATTCTCTCCACCATCCTCCCTTTCTCCTTTTCACAGGCAACCACTTCCTGGGTAGTTTCTCAGAAGTGACATTCCTTTTCAAAACAGAGCAAAAAATCTTAACAAAATCGATGCCTTGCGGGTCACCTTCTTTGATACATCAGCTCCATCGCAGAGGGGCCAAGCATCATTTGTCTGGTCATCGGTAGCAAGCACTGCCTCCAGACAATGAGGAAGCGAAGGTTTGCGAAATAGAGTCACGCAAAAGAGCTGGATGAGAAGAAGGTGTGTAATTATGCCCGGGAAAGGGCGGTGGTGCTGGTGGTGGGGATAGCAAGAAATATTTTTATAGGCTAATTAATTCTGCGAGGTTGTTTGCAACATTGCTCTATCAAGAGTCAACATACACTCTGAGACCTGTTCCCGGGGACCAGGATCCTTACGGCCACTCAGCCAGCTGCGGCCAGCTCATCTCCCGCTGCCCCACGGGCAGCAGGGAGGGCCGGTCGCTTTCCGGGTGCCACATTAAGGGAAGCACCGCCACCTGCTCCCCGGGCCATGCCAGGGCGACCTCTCCGGGCTCGGGCCGCGCGCGCCTCCCACTCCCCGGTCGGGCCTTACCCGAGGCGACGCTTCTCCTCCCTGCCCATAGCCTGCACGGCCGGGGCTGCCACCAGCACCGAAGAAGCGGAAAGGAGGCCCAAGGCGAGCAGTTTCCAGCCAGGCCAGCGGCCTGCGGAGGCGTCGCCGCTCCTTCCCTCGCCACCAGCCGCTGCTCCGCTCATGGCGGCAGCTGCCCCGCTAGGCCCGGCTCGGTCCCATCCTTCTCAGAGCGCCGCCGCTGCCACGACCAGAGCAGGGACCAGCCCTTCGCGCTCTCCCTTCGCTCGTCCCCTCCTTCCTCTGGCGTAGCCAAGGAAACAGCGATCCTGCCGCTGGGCCGCTTCCGGGTTTGACGCACACGACGTGCGACAGCCAATGGGGACGCATGGCTCGGGCCACCTGACCTGACGCCTCACGCTCCCGGGTACAGTGAGACGTGGAACGAAATGACAACCCTTACCCTCCGCGCGCATGCCCAGGAGTGGCCTGCACGCACAGAGATAAGAAGGGAGGGAGTCTCCGAGCGTTTCTCGGGATGTGGCATTTTCGGGTTCGCAGGCAACCTTTAGATGCGCTCAGGGCAGCCAGTCCTGCGAGGGGCGCGGCGCGTCGCTGCGAGCCGCGGTCCGGGGCTGGGAGATGCACGAAGCGTCATCTCGCTCGGCACCTAAGGCTCCGTCGCGGGTGGAGAAAGCAGGAAATGCAATGCAGAAAGGGCCAGGCACAGATAGGGTAGCAAAAGAACAGTGGCGACGCGCCAACCCTCCCTGAGAGGAGAAACCCGTGACTCCACGAACATGTGGATGAGCACCAGTGTGACTTGGCCCTGAATAGGAAAGAGCTTGGAAGAGCATGGAAAAAGCATGAGAGCATGGACAAGCATGCTTGGCCTTAACAGAAAAGAGTATCATACTAGGCTGCTCTCAGTAAGATCAGTGGTTTGATTGTGCAAAAGGAGTGTGTGTGCTTGTGTTCTGGGGAGAGTGTCATCACTTGTTGCACCACCTTGAAAGAAGGAAATGGGTCTCCAGTTCCTGTTAAGCTTTGTTAGATCTTGCATGAAACAGGCCGAAATAGATGGAAGAAAAGCAAACCAGTAATATTTTCAAGATGGCGTGCAAGGCTTTTGACAAATGCGAGAACACTTTGGAGCTGTGCAATGCACAGTGAGAACAAAGCTTTTATAGTTTACCTCATCCTCTGACAACTTTCTCATGGGCTCCCTCCCTTCCTGAGGCAGGGAATTTTCCTCCTCCTGTTCATTCCTTATCTAAGAAAGACCCTTCAAAATGAGGCTGGAACACTCATCCTTGGCCTGATTCCTTCTTGTTCTCTCCTACCTGGCAGTTCTCCTAGAGCAACGTGCACAAAACTTTTCTCTTTAACCTTGCATTTGTCAGAACAAAGGAGGCACCATCTTCTCCAACAACTTTGTGGTGGGGGGGAGGATTTTGCAGACATTTTGAAACGGATACTTTATTTTTAATATGCACGTTGATGTCCTCAGGACCACATTCCAGGTACTGTATTTGTGTACAGTTCCTGCAGTGTGCAGGCTTAATGAGATTTGAATTTAAAAAAATAAATTTCTTGATCACATTACACAACCTGTAAAGGTATGTTGCAGCTTCCCTTTATGGAGAAATGATGAAACAGATTTCTATGAAACATTGTCTAAGAATGACAGCTGAATGGAGAAATGATTCAGGTAGTCAGAATAAGCTCCAAGCAACGGGTATATATCTTGTATGCCTTTTGCATGGAAATTATGATGTGTGAAGCCACCTATCCATGTATTCAACCACAGTGACAGCAATATCTGCCATTACAGTATCAAAACAAGGGTAGAGAACAGTACAGCAATCCTGAAAAGTGTGAGAATTTACTGTAGGAAATTGGCACCATGGAATTGGCCGTTTCATCTGCCAAGGCACAAAAATGACAAAAGCAAAGATGTCGCAGTTTGGGCACATCATGAGAAGGCAAGACTCCCTGGAGAAAAGCATTGTACTAGGGAAAGTTGAAAGCAGAAGAAGGGAAACACAACTATGAGGGATTGACTCCATAAAGAAAGCCACATCCTTGAGCTTACAAGGGCTGAGCAGGGCTGTCAAAGACCAGACCTTCTGGAGGGCATCCATTTATCAAGTTAAGATGACAGCACATGCCAACAACAAATAATCAGTGTTAACACGCTACCATAAATGGCTTCACACATGGGAAATAGCCTGAATGACTCCCTTCGAACTCTGAAAGAATGTATTGATATTCTTTAGGGCAGCCTTCCCAAATCTGGGGTGCTCAAGAAGTTTTGAGCTTCAGCTCCTATCAGCCCTAGGCAACATAATCTGGAAACCTGGGAGTCCAAAATATCCAGAGGGTACCAAATAGGGGGAAGCTGCCATGCAGCATGGCTCAAATTTAGTAAAGCCCAAAGTCAGTTTTGTAGAATTCTGAAGGACAATTCAAACTTGGCTTCACCATAACCATTCCTAAAAGAGCCATATGGAGGGTGCATTGTATGAATTAGTCAACCTTGGATACAGTTGTGACTTGGCAGAGATTTCCACAATCCAAGATTGTAATTTTAATGAGTCCAAAATGCGCTTCATATGAAGCACCCTGAGCAACTCCAATGACATTTAATACATAATATGTACGGTATGAACTTTTTTTGGCCAACCACAGATAATGGCTTTAGTAATCAGAAACCCGTTTCTCAAATCAGAGCACAGAAAAAAACTACTGTGCACTCCAATTACATATTACTTTCTCCAAATAACTATAGGTGTATATACATTTGTAAATACCTCTGGACAGAACACATGGCATCAGTTCTGAACATCAGCTCTGCCCTGATCGTGATTACTTTCCCTGCAGAAATATGAAGGTTTTTGTAGAATGCTCAATCTAGAAATCCTAGGATATCACGGACAAAATCTACAATATCATACATTCCTCATATGTACTACATCACCTATCAAAGAAATACACAATGAGAGGTTATTATGTGTTTATTTTGGCACAAGCATTTAAGAAAGGTTAAGCACATACTGTGTTTCATAATTCTCTGCTCAAGCTGGTTAATCAGATGAAGAATCCTAAATAACCCCTGGCCCATCCTGCCCTTGAGAAAGCAATTACTGATATATGTAGCTAGTGTATGTTGGTTATGTTAGTTTGATATTAAGAGAATGAGGGGAGAAACTTAACATCTGATGTCTGTTAGTCAAACACTGAACAAACCCCCAACAAGAAAAACAGGAAAACAAAGGAGTTGACTTCTTAAGCCTACATCCCTCAACAGACTTACTCAAAGCCCAACCGAAAGCAATGGGACCTGTTTCCAAGTAAATAGAGTTAGGATTTAAGTATGAAAAAACTCTTTGGAACTCTAGTTCAAGGAAGCAAAACTGTAAAAAGCATGGTCCTATGTCGCTGACAAAAACTGTTGTATGAATTTTGCCTTCTTTCTGTACTATCTCATACAGCTTCTGTCTGGGTTGGCAGCATGGTGCACCTGGATACTTCTGCCAGCACTCACCAGTTCAAATGATGATTTTAAAAAACTTCCCTATCCCCCAAATTTAAAATATCCTTTCAATTATGGGTGGTACAAAAGTGGCAACACTTCAGCCTCCAGCTCCACCTTTCTCCCTTCCCATCCCCAGCAGTCCTCCTGTGGACAGCTCCCTAGCTTGATGTTCTCTAAAGGTCTACAAATGCTTCAATCCCTGACCACTGTCGATTCTGATGGGTTATGGGAATTGTCCAAAGCATCTTGAGGGCATCCAGGTAAGGAAGGCTGAGCTGAAGACCAGCCAAATCTGTCAGAAGAGACAGCTGCTGGTTGCCCGTAAGAAGAATAAGAAAGGCAGAAAGGAATGGCTAACGAGAGAGTAGAAAACCAACCAGAAGCAGGTAAGAACTGACCCTGGGACAGTTTGGTGAAAGGACATCTGTGCGTTTGAGAGTGCCCAAGTACGAGAGTATGGAATGAAGGGGAATGGACCAGCCAATATTGTCTGTTGGTAGCATGTGTTTTTGCTATCACTGAGGGGAAATTAGGATGTAGGGTTACCTTATTTTGGGAAGACAAGTTTAAAAGAGTTTGTTTAGAGGTGATGCAGAAAAATTGATCTTCCTTCCTCTGAACTGAGTGCTGTGTTGGAGAAGATCTCATGGGTATAAAAGAAGCATGTTTGTCTTGACTTCATTTGTTGGCTTTCATGAAAGGGGTGCTCTGTAGCAATCAGGTACATTTCGCTAGATAGTACACAAAGGAGGAAAGACCAGGCTCCAGTTTTTTGCAGCAGTGCTGTTTCTTGTAATGTCATTCTGCCCAAATGCTCCAATATGTGATCATAGTCATTTTTTGGAGTCTCCAAATGCTTGTAACCGTTTCACAAAGATACATATCTAAATAATCTTCTAGCGTTCTGCTGACACAGAAGAAGCATCTGTTTATCTCATTAATCTTAAATGGAGTATATGTTCAATCTAACTGGGTAGTGAAGGGGTTGTACAGAGAAACTATTACATGAAAGTACTGGAATGAGAATGTGTCTTGTCTGTGCAGATTCCAAGAAACAGTGAAACACTGGGACAGAGGAGACAACTTTTCATCTGTACAGTCCATTTTGTGGCAAGCTTTATGTTTTGATTTCCGGTTTCGGAAGCAAAGGGGACTATGTTTAAAATTAGTATTTCTGAGATTTTTTTTAAAAAACCCTTGAATGCATTTGCTCATGATACTGCATACCTAAATCTAAATGACCAGTTTTAGATTTTCATCCACAGCCATGAGGACGAGCATGTTCAAAGATTATGGGTTCTTTGGATCCTAGCAGAAGTCTCTGAGTTGCACAAAATGTCTCACAGGTGCACTGCTTTAGATTCATTGCTGAAGTTATGGCTGCAAAGAGAAACCATCATTTCAGTGCTGACCCTTCCCTTTCCCCCAACTCTTCCCAATTGTCAAATTGGGGGAACATGATTGTGTGCGGGGAAGAGCAGTGCTCACTGCAGCAAGTGTGAAGTTTATTGCTGACTAGGATTTGCACTTTTCTGTTCAGCATTGGCAGCCTGGGTGTGAATCTCTACTGTGTTGCATTAGGATCATGTCTTAGATTTGCAACCGAGGCGTGCGGAGGACAGCATGTTGGGAAAGCCACCCTCGACGTATTGTTCCTGCTCTACAACTTTCAAGAAGAAGAGATCTCCGTTAAGCTTCTTTGTGCTCTGCACATGTAGAAAATTGAGGAATTTAGCGATAGATAATCCTTTCAGTTCAGAAGCTCATAGGAAATGTTTTGCTCAAATTCATTACTGTCACAATATCCCATATAGTTATTATTTTGAAAGCATTGCACAATAAATCTAAAGTTAGGTTGCAAAGGAGACTTTGTTCATACTTTTCTTTTTCTTCCACACTTCCAGTTTATGTCAGAGGAAAGACGGCTGAGCATCATAGCAATAACTGCAAAAAATTTATAGGAATATAAAAGTGAACCATTTCTGTGCAGCTCAGACTTCTGTTAGAACTCAGAGCACTCTGTTTAGAACTCAAAATAGGATGTTGAGTTATCAAACACAAAGAAGTATATGTCTGTGATGGTCATCTGTAATTATTTTGACCTCCATATCCATGGCCCCTCAAGACAATGGTATTCTCCAATTCTTCATACTTGATCTTAAGTGTACAATACTGTAGCACAATTAATCTGATCACTAATGGCATCCTTCTATTTGCCATGCTGAAGAAAACTGTATACAAAGTTGATGTGCAAAGTTGTTTACAAGTTATTGGACTACAGAAATTTAGCCAGATGGCTTATGATGGGCTTGCAAAATGGGACTATGCTGTTAAATCAATGTTGCGCCCTGTGTCCTTAATGTTCTTTCAAACATATGCTAGCATTCTGAAGCAAGTGTCAACTGAAGCCACTCTTTAATGGCCACATCGTGAAGTTAATATATCGGGACTACCTATTCATGCCTCAATATGCATTTGCCCACTGCAGAAGGCTCCTTTACAGCTAATTCCATCAGATTCTGGCCTAGGATTCTGCACTTAAATTAAGGCAGTGATGGCCAAGCTTTTTAGTCTGTGTACCACAAGCTAAGGCCAAAGAACAAGGAAGGGTTACCTTCCCATATACAGGCGTGCCCTGATCATCTCTGGGATGAACCAAGATGCAACTGCGTAGTATACGAGAAACAGGACAGAGGGCAGCTCCAACACTTCTGCCTTGGTGCAAGCACGTCACAAGCTCCCACAGCCCTACAACTGGTGGTGTTCTCACTCTTCAATGGCCACCAATGCATTTAGGGGATTGACGTCTTTGCCTGGGCCATACTGCTGGTGGGGAATCACTGCAAAGTAAGCCGAGGTGTACACTTACATTTCTCAATCTATGCTAGAGCTGTGATGAGTTTTGCCATTCTTCTGGTACAATTTTTAGGTGCCTTGTTCAGACAGCATTGCAATGACAAGAGAATGACAAGAAGCTTTGATGGCTAAAGGCTATGCAGCACAGTGGTTGAACCGTCAGGTGTGACTCTAACAGTTTAACATGTTAATGGTGTTAGTTTTAATGTAGTTGCAGCGTATGATTCACTGAGCAGATGGACTGATGGTGCACCTTGATTTTCAAAGCAGAATCATCCTATCAGCCCAGAGAAGCAATTTAGGCATTTGTGGTTTTGTATCTAATGGTGTTAATCAGGCGGCAGAACAAAGGAGCAGAAAAGGAGTCCTGAGCGTTGGATGCAGCCCTTACCTGTAGGGTAACTTGCAGGGCAAAACATCTGGAGGATCAGTCCTAACCAACACAGCCCATCGTGAAAGATGAGAGGGAGTTCTGCCTGTCCATATATTTTGGCCTACAAGTTGTCCAAATTTGCTTTCCATGTGCTGCTGCTTATGAAATCATAAGCAAGGGGGGAAGGGTTGTGAATGCCCAAGCCCATTCTGAGATCATTCAGGGGTCTTCCCTTATCCCTTGTCTTTCTGAAATAAAAATTGCAAATGTTTAGCCTTTTTTACCTACGGAAATACAAGAGAAAATGTGTAGGCAAATTAAGAAGTTGACCCTGATTCTGGCGAAGTTCAAAGTGATGATGTGTCCGCACTGCTCCTTGTTTCTCTCCATGAGTCGAAGAATCAGAATAAATTATATACAGTAAGGAATATGCAAACACCCTTGGTTTGCCTAATGTATACAGGTTGTATAATGAATTTTGAATATTGGATGTTGCTGCTTCTTTTATCTCTTAGAGCTAGCCAAGGTATCCTGGAACAAGCAGAGGCACACGTCACTGTAAACATTTGTCATTCCATTCAAAAAAATGGGTATAAAGTGCTCTGCAAAAGGTGCAGAAAAATAAGACAAAGAAACCTGCTCCAACTATCCCAGCAGCTTTAAATATAGCAACAATATCGACAAAAAAGAGGAGTGGAATCAGATCACTCCCCTGTCAAAATTTCTGCAGAAGAAACGATCATTCAGCTGTTAAGGTCAAAATGATATGCACAATTACGCTGCACAAAATTTCAACAAGCAAATCCCTTCGCCCTTTCCCGCGGAAGATTTCCCATTATCGTCATCTTAGCATACTTTGTGCAATTTTTATTATCTCTGAATTATTCCCTATTTTAGCCCTTTTGCCTAAATTCTAGCCACTTATCAACACTACCCTTATCAATATGAATGGGCTGTTCATTGTAAATGGTTGACTCATGTTTTTAAATCATTTCAAAGTTTTTAAAAGAAGCTTGGTCATTCCAACATTGACCAGGTGCACAAGGGTTCACAACTTTGGTGAAGGTAAGCAATTTTGGATGACCCTCCTCCAAGTGGCTGGACTGAATGAGTTCCCAGAAGCAGTAACTCGCAGAAGAAAGAGATGATAAAAAAAATCAAAATTCTCAAACCCCCCCTGCAGATTCAAAAGATACGAGTGCTTTCCAATAGGATTTGAGAGTTTGGCTCGTTCTCTCCATTCTCATTTTGAAGAACTCTGCCTGTAATGACTACAAGGCTAAAGCATTTGATTGACAAGATAGCCCTTTTAATTCTCAAATTGTGACTGAGGACAGCTGTCCTCCACATTTTCCTGTTTCTCTGTTTCTCCTTCTGTGGAATTTGCAGCCTCCACACTTGACAGAGATGCCTCTGTTTGACCAGGATCATCCCCCTGAGCAAAGGTGAAAGCTGTGGAGTCCATGTTAACCAACAGCTGCCGAGGGCTACCCTCACTTTCTTTTACCTCTACAGAAACAGGAAGACCTGTCGGCTCGATTGTCATATTTGCAATGTTCAGAATGGACTCTTGCATTTCCTCAGAACGGCCCGAGAAGGATGGAGCACCCACTTCCGCCAGGACTGACTGCAGAAGGGAGAGTTCTGCTTCCGGCGAATCTTCTTTGTCCTTTTGGCCTGCTTGGAAATTGTCATCCCTTAAGGCAGCCTGAAGGGAAGAAGGACCTTCTTGCCCACCATCAAGGGCTTCCCTTTCAGCATGCTGCTCCACTTGTGGCTTCTGATCAGGGAGACCAACCTTGAGAAGGGAGGGACCAGCTTCTCTCTGGCCGGATGGTCCATTTCCATCAGGTGACTTTGTCTGGGATGGGTCATCAGGACTCACATCAGCATGGGACATGCTTGTCTGGGTCTCCAATTCTTCCCTTGAAGTTTGACAAAGATCCAGCACCTCAGAAGGAACTTTGTGAGGTATGTACCTTGCTTCCTCAGAGATGCTCATTATGTTTATTTCATCTGGTTTTTCACTGGGTGGAAAGAGCACGGGCTCCTGCATCTCACATGCTTGACGTTCCTTTGCTTTGTCCTCCTGATCCATTTTCTCTGCATGTTCCTGGACCTCTGAAATCTCACATTCATGTAAAACCTTTTCTTTATTCTCAGGTGGAATAGCTACTGGCACTTCCATTGTCAGGGTCAACAAGTTTCTTATTTCATTCACATCACCACAAACTGGACGGTTTTCCTCTTCTCCTGGTACCTTCTCTTCTCTTCTCGTGCTTCCATCCAAAGTACTTTCCACTACATCTGAAGGCTGAGGAGTGGTCTCTTCTGTGAATACCCCAGGTAGCACCGTGGGTGATTCCTGATTGCCATGGAGATCAGAAATGATCCCCTCTTCCTTGGCTTCAGTTGGCATATCAGACACAGAAATTTCTTCTTTGAGGTCCAGTAGCTTACTAGTCTCATGGGCCTTGTCCTGAACACTGTTTTCTGCTGTGGGCACTTCACTACTTTGAGCGGCGGTGTCCGATGACACACTGGTGATTTGCTTCCTGGCAGGGCTGCTTTGTGCTGACCCCAGAGGGGTCTTCAGATCACTCAGACTGGACACACTTTCAGAAGGCAGGGTCATTTCCTCGTAGAGGTTATGCTTCTTCAGATGGGCAGCCTCTTTTATCACTAAGGAGAGGGACAGACATAGACACAAGTAGATTCAGCTGTGGGAGCGTTAACAAAAGACAGCACAGGCAGTGGGACACAACCATTCAAAATCTAGACAGAGAGGATTATCCCTTTGTAACTGGATTACCACAGGAGTACTGAATTTCTTTCAGCCCAAGGCTGAATCTGAACTGGGTTCTCCTCTATTTGATACTGGTTAGGCCCCATCTCAAGTCCCGTGTCCAGTTCTGGGCACCACACTTCAAGAAAGATGCAGAGAAACCGGAAACAGTTCAGAGGAGGGCAACAAAGATGATCTGGGGACTGGAAACAAAGCCCTGTGAGGAGATTGAAAGAACTGGGCATTGTTATGCTTGAGAAAAAAGAATGGGAGGAGAAATGGTAGCACTTTTCAAATACTTGGAAGGCTGTCACACAAAGGAGCACCAAGATCTCTTCTCAATCATGCCAGAGTGCCAGGCACAGAAAAATGGGCTTAAGCTATGGAAAGCCAGATTCCAGCTGGGCATCAGGAAGAACTTCCTGACGGTTAGAAAAGTATGGCAATGGAACCCATGATCTAGGGAGGTAGTGGGCTCTCCCACACTGGCATCTGGCATTCAAGAGGCATCTGGCCAGTCCTCTGTCAGGGATGCTTCAACGTGCACTGAGAAGGGTTGGGCTCGACGGCCTTCCTGGCTTCTTCCCACTCAACTGTCCTGTGAGTCCAGCCCTCCCCACCGCTGCCAGCACGCGACCTTCCCTCCATGCCTGTACCAGCCCTAGCTCAGAAAGGTGCTGCACCACAGAAAAGCCTGTGGGCTCTCCAGGCTGGGCTGGCACAAACAGGGATGCAAAACAGCAACAGCAGAGGAGAAGAGAGGGTTGAACCACGATGGCGGAGGAGGGATGGTTCTGTGGCTCAAGTGTGTTTTGCTTCAGGTGGCAAAACAGCATGTCCCAATCCTGCTTCTTGGACACTGAACCAACATGGGAAAGGAATATGAGTTCGATGGCATCAGGAGCTACGTCTCCCCCTCCACCAGGATTCTCAAAGCCCATTGAGGTTGTTTGTCTTGAACCGGCAGACCCAACAACCAATGGCAGTGATGTTCATATTGAGAACCCTTCAGCTAAATTGATTATTTAAAGATCCCCCAATATTTGGTGGAATTCCAGACTTTCTGGGCTAAATGAAATGGATTTGGACAAAACTGTTACCTTGAGGGAACTCAATTCTTACATCTGTGACAAGAAGCCAAGTTACCTTTTAAGGTTTCCTTGAGCAACATTTGAAGTAGAATCTCTTCGTACACATTTTCAACTTGTATCACGTTGGTTTGCTCAGCGAAGATGTACTGCTCGTATTCCTGAAGGACCTTTGGAAGACACAGTTGAAGAAAATAAGAAGAGCTTTTCAGCCAAGGATAAAGGCGCCAGGCAAAGACCTTTTTATTCAAATGTTATTTTAATTGTTAATATTATTTATTCATTTTACTCTTTGGCCAGGGCGACTTAATTTATATTGTTAATTTATATTGTTCTATTTTGAAGTTTATTTACGGTTGTGAGCCGCCCCGAGGCTTCGGCGAATGGGGCGGCATAGAAGTCTCTAAATAAATAAAAATAAATAAAATAAAATAATCGGAGCACTTGAGAATGGAATTTCAATCCAACTGTAAACCAAAAAAAACATCACTGGGAGGGTGCATGAGGGCACAGGGAGGCTGTAAGGTCTAGGGAGCAGCACTTTACATGGCAGCAAAGACCTGGAAGCTAGTAGAAGAGATAAAAAAGGAAAGAAAGAACAGCCGCTCGGTAAATAGAATCATAAACAAGGTCAGCTCAAAGGAATGCTTAGCTGTCCCAGGAGCAAGATATGGGTGGAGTGAGGTCTGCAAAAGTTGTTGGACCAACCAACCGGCTGTGCATTCTCCCACTCCCTTTACTGTCCATTTTTCTGCTTCCTTGGCAAAAGTAGCTGCTCTTACAGTGTCTCTATTTATTTATTTATTTATTTATTTATTTATTTATTTATTTATTTAAAACATTTCTATGCTGCTGCCATCGCAACAAAGCCTCGGGGCGGCTCACAACAAAAACAAACAAAATCATTTAAAAATTTATACACTAAAAATATTAAAACCCGGTGCATCTCGGCTTATTTTTTTTTTAAAAAAATCCTCCATAATAAATTAACACTTAAAATAAGTTTTAAATAAAAAGGTCTTAGCCCGGCGCCGAAAAACAAATAACGACGGCGCCAGGCGGACCTCTCTGGGGAGTGCATTCCATAGGTGGGATGTTATTTCATAACATTCTTGCTGGAAGGATCTGTGCTATCAGAAATCACTCTGTGAAGGAGTATGGCATGTATTAGTTTGCCGAGCCACATTTAGTTTAAGGCAAACCAAACACGCTGGATAGTGTCCGATGTGAGTCTGATAGAGAGTGGATCCACCAAAATGAATGGGACTTAAGTTAATCACTGCTAATTTGCATCCTATTCCCGGCATAGGACTTCACACTGGATGCTACCTATCAACTATATTTTACTCACAATGGCAGACGCATTTTTCTACCCAAGCAAAAATAAGGGAAGCAGCCCTTGGCAATTAGCTAAGGGAAGACCTGTTCAATGGTCTTTAGGCTTGACCCATTGACCTGGTTTGCACAACCCAACACACTGAGGCTTGATTTAGCTGGGAGAGTTGCTGCACCATGCCAGAAGGCCTTGCTTGTCACGGTGCGCCGTAGACTGCAAACCCAGTGCTGTGAATTGTTTGATGGGCTCAACAACCTTCAAATAAGCTTACAACAAGCTACGGGGTATTCAAGGGTTGTCTGCCCCTTCCAACAACTAACGAAGCTGGGTTTACATAACATGGCAAGTTATGAGGATGCCACTGCTCAGAATGGTTGTTGGTGCATTCCGCTAAGCCCCACTGGGAATTAACACATGGTGGCTTAGTGTAATGTGTGAATATTGCACAAAGTCCACTTTAAACCTATGGGTGAGGGGGTCACTGGGGCGGTGGGTGTGGGCTTGGGTGGACTCTGATGGATGGTGGAGGACAGGAGAGCCTGGAGGAATGTTGTACATGAGGTTCTGAAGGGTCGGACATGACTTAGCAACTGAACAACAAAATGGTCCTATTCCTGGAAGAGCAATTGATAGTGCCATCTCCTATCCTGCTGGAAGTCAACCTTGGAAAGGTGAGATGGAGGACAGTGAAGAACATTCAGTGCAGGTGAGCCTAATTTTCAGAGCCTGCTTCTCTGCTACTTTGTCACGACCCAAAACACTCTCAATTATTTCCAAACAAATATTCAGAAAAATACTAATCCTTTAATACAACAAATCTCTAGATTGTGGAGAGCTTTTTCTCACTTGCTTTGGATCAGGGGATCTCTCAAACTGGCCTGCAACTTGTGGCTACCCTTCAGCCAAACAATATTCAGGTTACCCACAATGCACTCTGTTGTTCCTCTGGACAAAGGAAGGGCAGTTGCTCTCCACCCCAATCCTTTTTCTAATTGCAATGACTTGTCAGCATTCATAGCAGTCACAAGAGCAAATTACTCGTACAGAAGAAGAAAGAGGAGGAAAAGACCGAATGGCTCTATTTGAGAATGGGTCAGAGCCTTGGCTTCAGCAGTGGGAAAGAAATACATGCTTTCTGGAACTGCAAAGGGTTGGATCCAGGCTTAGTCATACTTGCACTAGACTGGCCAAAGTCAACAGGACTTAAATTAGTCATGACTAACCCAATGCAAATACCACTAATTTTGAGGTGTTTATGGCGAGATCTAAGCCTAGAGCCAGGTGATGGTTTCCTTGTCCCTGTGCACTCATCCATTGTCTCTTCAGTGCAACCGTCTTTGAAATACCATTTTTTGAGGGAGTGGGCCGGCGGGGGGGAACCAACGACAGTCATTAGCATGCAAATCCCCATGGTGTTTGCAAGTAATATATCCCCGTGTCAAAACTTACCAGTTTGCAACTTGAGGCCAGTGTCCGCTGCAAGGTGGGCAAAGAGATCTGGACCAAAGCATCTTGAAATATCTTCTTCCGGACAGTACTGCTGTCGTAGTCAAATTGCTGTCCGTTTTGTAGAAATAAAGAAACAGCTGTGAAATCCTGGAGTGCTGGAGACCTCCACCTTCCTGCACCGAGACAAAGTAACCCTGCCCCAAACCATCGCAAAGTTGTCTTTGTTTTAAAGTGTTGTTGTGACCCACGCTTATGACTTTTAACCAAGTAAGATGGTGCTTTAACCGAATAAGATGACTTGTAGCCAAGTAAGAAAGTTGACAGGAAGAAAGCTGATGCATTTAAAACATGGTGCTGGAGGAGAGCCTGGCAAATAGGCTGGACCGACAGAAAGACCAGCCAGTCAGTCCCAGAGCAAATCAAAACCGAGCTTTCCCTGGAAGCAGAAATGACAAAGTGGAGGCTGCCCTGCTTTGGGCCCATCATGGAGACCAGACTCCCTGCAGGAGACCTTCATGCCAGGGAAAGTTGAAGGCAGAAGACGAAAAGGAAGACCCGAGACGGGATGAGATGGATGGACTCCATAAACTAAGTCACACCCTTGAATTTACAAGAGCTGAGCAGAGCTGGCGGTGAAGGGCAGGCCATTTTGGAGGTTCTCATACATGGGGTTGCCATAAATCAGAGATGAATTGACAGCACACAACAACAACGATTTTGGTTGCTAAGAGTAATTATTAAATAATTTGCAGTTCTTAAATAGGACACCCCACCGCTGAAGACTCAAAGAGCAAACTGCCTTCAGATATGAATTTACCAACAACTTGAGAAGTCAGTCTTCGCCAACTTGGCACCCCCCTAATGTGCTACACTACAAATACCATCCTCCCAACCAGCAAAGTCTGCATGGGCTGGGGATAATGGGGCTACCTGGGGGTGCCAGGTTAGGGAAAGTTGTGGTTAAATCACAACTGAAAGGAAAAAAGAATCACTGCTCAACTAATCTAGGTTATCAACACTTTTTGTATGCCCCTAAGGGACTGCAGGTGGTGCAGTGGTTTAAACTGCTGGGCTGCTGGGCTGGTTGATCGAAAGGTTGCCAGTTCGAATGTGCACAACGGGGTGAGTTCCTGTTGCTCCGTCCCAGCTCCTGCCAACCTTGCAGTTTGAAAGCATGCAAATGCAAGCAGATAAACAGGTACCACTTCGGTGGGCAGGTAACAGCGTTCCGTGCACCTCGGTGTTTAGTCATGCCGGCCACATGACCATGGAGACTGTCTGCGGACAAGCGCTGGCTCCCTCGGCCAGGAAACGGAGATGAGCACCGCCCCCTAGAGTCAGGCATGGCTGGACTTCACGTCAAGGGGAAACCTTTCCCTTTAGTATGAATTTTAAGACGTGCAATGCTTTGTGCTTTGAATTTGTCTGCATGCACGCACCACGTACAACAAAACGAGTCCAAAGCAGTGGCTGTAAATTCTATCATTCATGGGTCTATCTCTATTAAGTGGTACATTGCAACAACGCCACACACACCAGGTCTGTGCAGACACTGGAATAATTCTTTTTCATCAGAAAGTAAAGGGTGGGATGGTTTTAGAAGGTTTTGCAAATGCACGTTCAGTTCTGACAGGTTTAATACTTCCAGAAAATCCTCTCGGTTTTGCCATGACAGAATCACAGGGATTATTCGAGACTTTGCACTGGCTCCAGACTTAGTCCTACTTCTAGCAAACCCACTGAAACAAACAGGGCTTAAGGTATCCATGACTAATCTAAGTCCCTGTGGATGCCAAAGGCTCAGCGTAACCTACAGCAATGTCTAGAACGATCCCTGTCACTATCTGTCCTTGTTGAGGATGTCAGATTCTTGCATCCAAGGCAGCAACAGCCGTTCTGGAATAGCTACAAGGGGGCGAAGGTCACAAGGGCAGGACTTTGTGAATCATGGTTACCTTCCTCTAGATCTAGTTCTGTTGCAAGATATTTACTGAATCAGACACCTAATCCCAAGAAGTGCAAATAAGTCTTCCAATATGGCTAAGTCGTAAAAATACAGGGAAGAAATTCCTTCATTGGATTAATGGTGGATACCAAACCCTAGATTAGACAAAAAGAACAATATCAAACCTTCAGGACACGAAGTTTGACTTTTTCAATGGCTGTGGCCATTTTGGCTGTGTCTCTGGGATGGTTTAGATCCAGCAGCTGCTCAAAGGTATAGACTGCATTTTCCAGAAGCTAGAAAAAACAATGTCATATTTATTAGCCTGAACAACTCCAGGAATCACCAAGAAGATACCAAAAATTTATCAACCACTAACATCCTTATTTCGGTATATCAAGATGCCTGTCCTTGCAAGGTGCCTTAGCAATATGACTTTTGATCCTCCTATGACAGGCATGCTTGCTTTTGTGACTGGTTCTTCCATGGCCCTGTGATTTAAATCAGGAAGGGTGGCATGAAACCTGATGGTGCTTTGTGCTGGGGTTTCAATGTTCTCGTGAAGCACAGAATGGAACAGGAATGTACAATCTTCGCCCCTGCAACTGGCAGGCAACCTGGGAGCCTTTGAACTAATGTCCTGGTACAGGTAGCTTGGCTTTCCCCCTTTGCCTGTTCAACAGAGCAGTGTCCTTTCTGTGCTTAAGGTCCTGCTCCAGGGAATGGACTGGCCTGAAGAACATGGCCTGGGCAACCAGTACTTCACGCTCGGATGCTGACAACTCCTGGTTTGGCGTCAGCTGGCTCCAGAGCTTTCCCAAAAGCTTTAGGGAGCCTTCAGATGGAAATGTTAGAATCTTACGTGGAGACCAAAACAGGCCTGACAGTCAAACTGAATGCAAATTCTGGGGGTACCTCCTGCATTATGTTTTGTGTCCTCTGAATAATCATGTCGACATCATAGACTTTGAAGCGGTTCTTGAGGTCCTGGAGCTTCTCCTGAAGAGGGTTGACTTTCTGGTAGCAAAGCTCCATCTTTACAGAGTTGTAAGGTAGACCCATGAGGTGGTCCACGTCCTGCCGAAAAATGGATTTGCAAAGAAGCAGGTTTTCAGTTGTGATGTTTCTTTATTTATACTGCCATATTGAAAATTGAGAATGGCCTGGTTTCCACATAAAGCTAACTCACTATCTATTTAGCCCATGGCCTGTTGCCCTACCTTGAGTTTGTCTCATAGACAGTCAAACCAACTATGGTTTGTTTTCTATATTGCTGGGTTGTCTCTTACCCTTCTCCTTTGTTGGCTCTGTCGTTGTATCCCAAATGCTTTTGTAGCACTGCAGTCCGGCCATGTGAAGTGGCAAGATCTTTGACCCCTCTTGTCTATTACCTTTGTGGCCTTGCAAAACAATTCCTGAACAACCCACAGGTCTGGATCACATATAACAGCAAGCCATGTTTTAATCAACCCAGAGTTTACAACCCAGAAACCCTGGGTTCTCATTCTGGGTTATTTGTGGTTAACAAACTTTGGTTTGTTAGCACAGCTGTGTTCATTTAATGCAACCCAAAATTCAACAAATCATGCCATAGATTGGTGTTATGTGCAAACCAGAGTACTATGTCTTAACAGTAAAGAACAGTAAAGAACTCGAGGCCTGGGAACTCCGTGGTGAGGAATGGCCTGTCGGCTAGCAAAAGAAAAGGGAAACATGGTTGGATTTTTTGTGGAAGGCAGCCCCATGGAGTCACATGGCTGATCCATTATCAGCTTCACCAAGTTGATACTGACTTGATATCACAAAGCGGACAAGCCTGGTTGAAGCAGCTGAGTGCTACGGGAGGGTTCCCAGGGCGATAATCGCCGTGGCTGCAGGCCACTGCCTTTTGCCAGATAGCTTTTTCATGCAAATCTGTGGCTTCTGAACTCTTCCCAACTAGCAGAGGCCAGTTATTGCTTAAATAATATAGTGAGCTTTCTAACCCTGTGTCGTAAGCAGATAGTGACATCTTCTTATTAATTCTTAAAACGATCCTGTGAGACAGCCCTGCAAATATTTGTTATTAGGTGATAACGAGCTGATGACTGAATCCAAGACATAATGTTGGGTTCAGTCAAAGCAACAAGCCGTCACGGTTTTATACCACTGTTGGTCTGTCATGTTGTCTAAACCCATTCCTTAGCAAGGAATTTTGCCTTGCTAAGTTTGGTCTTTAGAGACCATGACAAGAAGCAATGGTTTGTTCTATGGTTTCTCTCTACCATGATAGCTTGCCATGTTGACTGAAGCCATGATCATGGTTTCCATGGCCCGGGTATACAACTACCATGGAATCCCCTGGAACCTCTGCAGGAGCCACTCCAGCCATTCAGTCTCTTTTATTTTATTTTAATTTATTTTAATTTAATTTAATTTAATTATTTCTATGCCGCCCCATTCGCCGAAGCCTCGGGGCAGCTCTATGTGTGGACCAGTGAGGACCTAGGCAGGGGGTGAGGCACCTTGGACCTGGATCTCAGGCACAGTAGCTGATGGGATATGTGCCAAGAGTGGGAGGGCTGAATGGGGAAGATGGAAACCATGGTAACGTAGAAACCACCTGATTCCCTGTCAGGTAGACCATGGTAAAAAAACAGAAACAACAGTAGCTATGCAGAGTTGCTTATGGTGTTGAGTGAATGCAGCCAATGACTTGTCAAAGGACAGATCATGAGTTTTCAGCCTAGCTGGGAAATCGACAACTGATCAAGATGGAGGCAGACTATGTTCCAGAACAGTGTGCTCACCAGCACATATTCTATCCATATAAATGGGAAACTGCATTGCAGTCTTACCTCTTTCAGCTTTGTGATGTCATTCGTTGCTTGAAAGTTCTGGCTGATTGCACTGACCTCCTTTTCAAAAAGCGAACGGACTTCACTGAACCCAGAGCTCACTGGGCCCATAAGTTCCTCCAGAATGGAAGCTAGGAAGGGCTGGATACTTTCGCCACAGCATATGTGGACCGGCTCAGATATATTTGCTGAAAATTTAAGACACTCGTGAATTAGATGGGCTACATCAAAATCGACCAGCATCATTTACTGAAAGCAGTACCAAAACTTTTACCTATCTACACCTGTGGTGAGGAGCACATAAAGCTATATGGGCTGTTCAATGCTACATGGCTTCCAATTCAATTAGGTAGGATAAAGTACAAGAACGTAGTCTGAAGTACAGTTGAAAAGCTAGGCTCTCAATTCAGATCCTCCTATACCATGTGAGCGGTGGATACTTATGCATCTGAGCAAAGGATGAGTACAAGCACACTAATACAGTGGTACCTTAGCTCACAAACGCCTTGGTTCATGGACAAATCGGGCCGTGAACAAAAATTTCATGAAAATTTTGACGTGGGTCATGAACTCCGCATTGGGTGGCGACCAAGATCACAGCCATCTCCCCACCCCCCGCCCCCGAGTGGGGAGATGGCCGCGATCGCAGTTGCGCTCGTGTAGGGAAGACGTGTGTGATGGTGGCTGTGCTGCGCCCATCTTTCCTGCAGGAGCGCGCCCGTGATCACACACGTCTTCCCTGCACGGACGCAACTGCAATCGCGACCGTGCCCCACTCGGGGGACGGGGAGATGGTTGCGATCGTGCTGGTTGGGGTGGGGGGAGATGGCCGAGATTGCGCCCGTCTTTCCTGCAGGAGCACTCCCGTGCCAGGGTTTCTTTGAGAAGCACCACCCCAACATAACTGCAACGAACAGAGGGTTGAATCTGATGAAAGATAACGTGGTCTCTCATTTCCGGAGGGTTATGCAGCGCAGGAAGAAACAAGTGACTATAGACAGATTTTTCACCAAAATTGACCCTGCAGCTAAGAGACAAAGAAGAGAGGAAACCCCTGAAAGAGATCCCCCCAATGTCCTTATGGAGGGGGACTCTCCCTCCAAACAATAACCTCCCCCCCACCTAGGTTAGTGCTCTCCACTATATTGTACAGAACTTTGTTACTTTGTTGTTCTTTTTCACTTTGTTTCATTTTTTCTGATTAAAAAAAATAGTCACAGAACGGATTAACCTTATTTACACTGAACCTTATGGGGAAATTTGACTTGGGTCACAACCAATTTGGGCCACAACCAGAGTCGTGGAACGGATTAAGTTCGTGAGCCAAGGTGCCACTGTACGTTGAACACACACCAGGCTCCCCTGTAAACCTGACCCATCCTAACTAGAGATGTGATGGATTCACATTTTAATGCAGACTTTCCTCATTTGCACTTCAGGAACCAGAATGCAAATGCCAAATCCATAATCTCCCAAACCTTGCACACTTGTGATTTGCAAATAAAAACTGTGCACAGAAATGTGAATATTTGATGGAAATATGTGTACAAAAGTGCATGTATTTTTAAAATAAATATAAAAGCTCCTGTCATTTAATGGAAACGTTTTGTCCATCCCTGTGAGAACAATAATAATGTAATAATTCAGTATGACTTGGCTGGAAAAGAGAACAGCTTGGGATGAGCACCAGATCTTCCTGTACGTACGCATATTCAGGTTATAGTTTTACTTGTCATATAAAGGCATCACAGTGGGCTAAATATATAAGAAGTTCTGGAAAGCCTATTAGCAATATGGGGATGATGCAGCTTAATAATTCAGCTTGAAACTTTTCATTGCAAGCCAAATTGGTTATGATTTTTAAACTGGGCATGAAAGTTTGGAGCAGTTAATTTCTAGTTGCGTACTGTTACCTGTGTGTGGACCAACCTAACTTAAACAACATTTTGCAGACTTTCAAACAAAGAATCAACTTACAAGGTTAGGTGCCTAAAACCAAACCAAACCAAACCAAACCAAACACACACACCATCGCAGGACTACAAGGACAACATTAGGTGAATTGTACCCCAGTCCTTCTCAACTACTTCTCTCAATAAGAAAGGTTTAATGGCTACTGGAAGAAGCTGCAAAGATGCTGTTGCGTGCCATTTTTCTTTGAGAATTGGCACAGCCAGTGCCCATACGAACTGGCTGTGGGTTTGGAGACTCTAAATAATATGTGTGTCCATGCATATTATAAGGCAGACATGCAATGCATAGCAATTCCTATGTACCAGGCAAACCTGGATTGACACAACCCTGAAAAGCAAAATCCTCGGATCAGGCCAGTGTTAAAAATGGGCTTGTGACATCACTTAGCTGCTGCTTGTGAAGGAATTACATAGTTTTTGACTAGTTTAAGGAGGAGAGAAAGGACAAAGGGTATATATCCACATTCCCCCCTTGCCTGTCCCTGTGAACAAACCATTCATCACTTTTCTTCAAACTTAACACCCACACTATGAAGGCTGGGACCCCTTAACTAGTGATCACCTCTGGAAATCTGAGGCCAAACCCTTTCGCCCAGAATGGACGCCTTGGGGATCACAGCTGGCTTTATAGGATGTGTTTTGGTGCCTTTAGGATTAGTTTCACACGCAGAAATTTAGCGGGCAAAACCTTCCCTGTCTCTGCCTCGCAATGCTCAAAGTGCTCCTTTCCTCTAGTGAATGGAATTGGAATGGGGACAGGCCAAATATTTAACATCCAGCTCACCTTTTATTTTGTCAGCTACGAAGTTCTTAGAAGTCACGATCTGGTCCATGTTTGAACGCATATTTCCTTCCAGGCTGGTGGTGACTTCTTTACATTCCTCTTTCAGGGTCCGTAATCCCTCGGAAACTTGATCTTGAACCAGAAGGTAGGTTTCTTCTAATATCTATAACAACAGAAAGTGTGAATGAGCCACTTGGCGAAGGCCACACATTCCAGCAATTCCATGAACTTCCCAGGCAGTTGCAACCCTGCTTCTGGGATTAAAAAGATTACTTTCACGGCAGTTTGCACAGCTCAGCCAACGTGAGCGTTTGCTAAGAAGCAGACACACCAGTCCCCTAACGTTTTGAAATACCACACCTGCCTACTTGAAGGCTGGAAGAAATACTTCTGAATATATTTATTCCAAGTATGAATCTTGCAGTTTACTGGCAAACAGCAGCCTTGGAGATATGCTGATACATTTAAGGCCTTCTTGTTTTATTGTGATTATGATTTTTCCTGCTTTTCTACCTCCGGCAAAGAACCCAAGGAGCCTTACGAGATTCTCCTCCATTTTATCTTTGCAACAACGACCCTGTGTGGTAGGTCAGATTGAGAGAGAGCGAGTGGCACAAAGTCAGCCAGTGAGTTTCATGGCTGAGAGGGGACTAGCAACCAGAACTCCTGAGTCCCAGTCCCGTAGTCTTAACTGCTACACCACACTGGCTCTCCACTTTATCGATTCCGTTTGCGTGCTACTCTTAGCTGCTCCCCTCCTTCTGATCAACTTCCTGCTGCTCAGGACATGAAAGGCATGCAAAACAAGACTTACACTAAACCACAGTCTCTTGCGGTCATTCCGCTTCCCTTTCATTTTCGGGAGAAGCATGGTTTGAAGGTTGGGCAAGAGCTCTTCCATCACAAGGTTGCTGAGAATCTACAGAGGGATAAAACAAAAGAATGATCAAGTCATAGTTTAGTCCCACTAATATCAGACTAATGTAAATGCCTATTGATTTCAATAGGACCAAAGTTTACTCTGGATCCAATCCCAAGTGATCGGTGCTTCCTGATTTATTTTCTCCACCTGTCTAGGCCACAAAGCAAAATAAGGTACCTGAACTTCATTTCCAGTTATCATTTCCCATGATCCATAGTGGCCTTTTTCTTGGCGGAAAAACTGGACAGCTTCTAAAAATGCTTCAGCTTCGAAGGAGGACTGCTTGAAAAAGTCTGAAAGAAACCGTGAATAGGAACCATTGATTTGAATTGACAAATGCAAGTATTAATACAGAGGTAGCTCAACTCATGAACTTAATCCGTTCCAGGACTCTGGTCGTGACCCAAATTGGTCATGAGCCAAGTCAAATTTCCCCATAAGGTTCAATGTAAACAAGGTTAATCCATTCTGTAACCATTTTTTTTTAATCACCAAAATTTGAAGCAGGCATGCCGGGGGGTGGGGGAGACAGGCACGATGGGCGTGATCACAATCGTCACCTGATGTGGAGTTCACAACCCGAGGCAACATTTTTCAGAAATTTCTGTTCACGACTGATTTGGTTGTGAACTGAGGCATTTGTGAGCCGAGGTACCACTGTAGTGCTATTATCGATTGATTCCACTACGTACTGTTTTTCTTCCCACCCACCCAAAATTTTAAAAGCCCTTCAGATGTCTACTCGTATTCCAGATATCCAGATGCTTTATTTTGGTTACTTTTCTCCCTCACTTGTAGTAAGATCACACCTATGCAAAGTATTTGTGAATTTCCATGTTCCTCAGGCACACACAGGAATTTATGTGCATGTAAGAACAACATTTGGTAGCAACATTGCTTCTAAAATGTGTTTGCTGAATTGTTATTTATATAAATATATATACAGATGTTTGTGTATTCCCAGAAACTGAGGCTACAGTTACTCAATACCATCTTTAACTGTATCATTCATTTTGTTTCCCCAGAGTTTCTCATCCAGCTCTAAGGCACTGCTCTAATTCTTCCACTGCATACATGCGCCTTTGTTCAGTGAAACAAAGATGGGGAATGAGCCAGATAGATATTTGTAGATTTCAGATATTTAGAATTTTTCTTTCATGTAGCTGTACTCCTGTTTCACCACATGGGAGCATACAAGTGTTCATCACAGCCCTTTTAGAGTAGAGATTTCTTACACTTTTACTGATCAGAAACCCTTGTAAAAATGCTGTCTGTCTTTCTAGCTTTTCTAACCCATCCACCAGGACAGCTTACAAAAAATAAGTAGAATAAAGCAAACCCCACAGCATCCGAAAATTGATATGCTAAAACCCCAGTTAAAATCAATTAAACTTTTAAATAGTGGGAAAATAAAAAGGGTTTTGCCTGATGCAAAAAGCATGTAACATTTGCACTAGGCAAACCTCTCTGGGGAGCGTATTCCATAATTGGGGTGCCACCCCAGAGAAGGCCCTCCTCCCAGTGCTCTCCCTCCTAATCTCCTTCAAGGAGGGCTCCCAGAGCAGGACCTCTGCCTAAGGTCTCAAGGGGCGGGGGGCACATAGGGAAGAAGGCGCTCCTGCAGGTATCCCAGATCCAAGCTGTTTAGGGCTTTATAGCTCATAACCGGCACCTTAAATTGGGCCCAGACTTCAACTGGTAGCCAGTGTAGAGGACCAGCATTATATGTGAAAAACGGCTGGTTCCTGTTAACATCTTGGCAACTCTATTCTGAACCAATTGAAGTATCCGGGCCATCTTGAAAACGGCTTATTAACAGGGCAGATGCGTTCATTAGCCTTCTTAATAAGGGACTGTGCAATTTCCTCTCCCACTGGCAACAGAGGTCCCCTTCTTGCCACCCAGCTTGGGTGACAATAACCTGATAGGTGTGGCAGCTCTTGGGAAGCGCTGGCATGTGGCCCATTCCAGGTGCTTTTTGGTCCAAAGAAGGGGACAGGAGGAGCCCTTCTGCCAACTATCTGCTTCCCACCTTGAGAATCACACCGTCATTCAAGCTAGCACTAGAGTGGCCTTCCCCAGCCAGGAACCCTCCAGATGTGAACACTTAAAACTTCTGGGGGAAGCTGGGAGTTGTAGGTCAACCCATCTGGAGGCAGCGGGTTGGGGAAGACTGTAGCAGACTTAGGCACCATTGGAGACGGGATGCATCCGCCAATCATGGATTTGACGCTGCAGAGGACGTGCATCCAAGAAGGCAACCTGCTTTTCTGAATGGAACAGCATTTGTGAACATCGCTTTGACCACCAGGAGGTTGGTCAACAGAATCTCCTAGCTTCTGCAGGGGTTTGGCCAGATCGACACAGAAGCTGTGATTATTGTAGACTTAGGTTCTGAGACATGCATCTTTATATTTGACAGTTAACATTCATAGCCAGAAAGAAACAAAAGGATGAGCTAGGGAAGAAAGTGGGTCTCCAGAAGGCTTGGACTTCCAGCGTTTGAGACTATCGCCCATCTGAGTGGACTTCTGGGATCTGATGTCCAAGACATGTGGACACCTTCCACCCACCCCAACTAGAGGCCGCCCTAGGGGTGCAACAAGAAGAGCTTGCACCAGCCAGGGGTAATGGAGCCTGTCTCACGTCCAGATGCAATGACAGAATCAGTGTCCTGTAGCTGTGATTAGCCTGGAGTGGCCCACTCAGTTGAACCATACTGACTCCATCTTGCCCAGGACAGAAACTTCCTTTCTGTGGTTGGCTGAAGGTCTCTGTTTAAGCAAAAGGCTGGGCAGGTTGCCTGATCCTGACACTGCAATGAAGGTGACCTGGCGGAAGTCACCTGTAGGCCAAGAACTTCCAGCCAGCCAATCTATTAAACAGGAAACTGAGGATGCCCAGAGGTTCTATGCCCCAAAGTAGGATTCCCTGTCTCAGGAAACCCAGATGGATCCTTCTTGGCTGTTGTGTTTTCAGGATGAGGCAGGAAGTTCTGCTAAAAGCACTCTTTTTTTTTTTGCCAAACATTCAGGCTAAGTTCTTTTTCCTCTCCTGCTATCTTGAATTATGATTTTAGCTGGTCCTGATTTTTCGCTGGGGTTGAGTTGATTTCTGCTGCTCTTCTGCTGAATTGTGACTGTGATTATGAGCAGCTGGCAGGGGAGGAATCCTATGGCACCAAAAGACAGCTGGAGTCCTTAAAAGCAAATGTTCGGTTCATTTTTTGACTTTAGGATCTCAACTCAAGAGAGCAAACCCTTCTAAAATGGCTATGTGACTTTGCATGGTGGATATCATGGTTCAAAATGCTCAGGCATTTCAGTTCATTATTTTTCTTTCACAGCAAACAGGTTTGACTGCAGTCTGGAGCTGTCTGTCCTTTTATCAGAGCAAACTATCAAGTACTAGAAATATTGAGATCATCCATTTACCCAAAGGTTATTTTCCCCCAAAGGGCATGAAGAAAACACACTGAGCTGTTCAGCCTGATGAGTTTCAGGGCATATGGCAATGCTCCACACACGCCTAGGACAAAGTTATCAGTCAGTTGGATTCACTTGGTGGTGTCTCTGAGCGATCTGAATGAATAAAAACATTCAAAACACCCATTACCGCACCACTAAAGATTTCCAAAATACTGGAGAAAACCAGTCAAAGCAATGCAAGACTTTGGCAACCTAGCGTTAACTTGACTGTCGTTGTTCTGCGCCATCAAGTCATCTCTGACACATGGCAGCCCTCCAGATTGTACTGTCCATGGCATCCCCGCTGAGCTGTTCCGAGTTCAAGGCTGGAGTCCTTCGCGGCGCCAGTCCATCTCTTATCCTGAATAATCCTCAGCCACTGAGAGCTCATTCTCTCCCACAGAATGTAGACATAATCCATTCAGGTCTGTCCATCCTTGCTTTCTTTATCTCTTTTGCAGATGGGAAAAGGATGACAAAAGATCTATCTTTTGACAATTCAATCATCAGATCCAAGAACTAGACAGCTACCAAGATCTATTCAGCATTCACTCTGCCTGTTCCACAGAACAATGTAGTTAAACATGATTAATTCCACAGGGCTGAGACATAATCTGGTTTGCACAACACATCATAATTAACTAGCCATGGTGGGTTATCATGTTTACCACAGGGTAGCTTATTTTGCAGGGACAAGCCAGCCCAACAGCCTATGGGTTCTTCTAAGGTTGCTCAGCATGCTAGGTTGTTGTGCTGCATGAACCTGGGAAAGAGCAATTTAATCCTGGGTTGTGGGAATCCTGGGTTGTGTGTCTCTTGACGAGTGTGGCAGAACTGCGTGAAGTTCTCTGTGATTTCATCCTAGCTGCCACTGTCAAGGAGGATCTCTCCACCTGTGCTCAGGCAGCGCTTTGGAATGGCCATCACTGGCTTGCCATTTTTTGCAGCCCAGAAAATTGCAGAAATGTGCTCGATTTTTCCAATTATTATTTCACTAGTGTGGTCTTCTAGCTGTCTGAAAAATATCTTGTGCCTGGTCAAGTTCCTTGCAAGATTCAGCTCACGAAGGGAATGGAGAAGTCCGGTACACCTTGACAAGGCAAGCCTACATATTGGCTCCTTTGTGTGTACTTGCCAAGGAGAAATTGCCAAGCTTTCAGTTTTTTTAAAAAAAACCCTGACAGTTTTTCAACACTTTGGATTCTTCAGCTTCATTCTGGAAAGTGGAGATACAGGTTTCCCTGCTTTTTGCACTTCCATTTTGGAGCACTTACCGCGGAAATTACTGCAGATCCCTGACAGTTTTAAACACCCAGCCAAACAGACAAAACCCAGAAAAGGCAACTGAGTATGACCCAAATGAATGGGGCCCCACTGGAAGGATGTATGTGCCACCAGTCCTGGAATCCTTTGGCTTCTCCTGGTCTCAGAGTGACCCAATCTGAGCACACCACTTCTAGCTGCCTTGACTACAGCTCAGTTGCTTTTTATTGACTAGCATGGTCAAAGATTGCTTATCACATCTAGAATTTCCCAGATCACTCAGTTTATTTTGACATTTCAAAGTCTTCGGACTAGTTATAGCAGAATAGAAGTTGAATAAGTAAGTAAGTAAATTGCTGGGGAGAGATATCTCTCTATTGTTTGCATTCTAGACTCTCTATACGTTACAATGAGGCAAATATATTAATATAAATCACATTATTGGTTAGGCTTAATCAATTGTTGCCTCTGCTCCCAGACTAGCAGGTTAAAGGAGTAAACTACAATTATGGAGCCTGCCCGTCTTTGCTCAGGTGCAAATTCATCATTCAGTCATCACCCTT